CCTACTGGGAGCCCCAGAAAGAGGGTTTCTTGGTGGGGGATGGGTACCTGAAAGGTTCGGGCCAGGGGCCACCTATGGCTTCCAGCTGGGCCCAGGCTCTCCCTGGATGTCCCCTGGATGGATCGGCCAGAGGGAGCTTATCTGTAGAGACAGAACAAGCGACTGCAGGGGAAGGTGAGCCCATCCTCCTTCCTGGATGCCCCGTGACAGGAGTGGCTACTCAGAGAGGCTTGGAGCAGCTAGTGCTTAAAGCCAAGGCCTGGAGGCCCCCACAGGTTGGGGGGAGGCTGCCCCAAGGCCTGGGCTCTGGGATCTGGGGCCTGGTGTCAACTTTGGGTCTTTGGGGGCTGTGGCTGCTTAGAGGTTCTCTGCTGTAGCCAATCTTGCTATCTCCATGGGAGGATGGGAGGCAAACACAGCTGGAATCAGACTCACCTGGGTCCAAATCCCTCTCTGCCCATGTCCTGGGGGGCATGGCTGTCTTTCTGGGTCTCAGTGTGTCCATCTCTACAATGGGACCAAACATCTGAGGAGGAGCTTACTCTTACGGTCCTGAGACCCAGGACCTCAGGTGAGACAAGAGAGCCCAGGGCCTTTACAATCTCCAGCAGCCTCCACTTCCCCATCTGTAAAATGAGGATTCCAGACCCACAAAATTATACTTAGGGGCCCTGTGGCAAGATAGGAGTCCCTGAGCCTTTCCACAGCGATTGGCAGTTATTCACTGAGCACCTACTGTGCCGGGCAGTGTTGTGGAGGGGCTGCGTCCTGCCCTCTGGGAGCTTCTATTCTATATGGGGAAAGAGGGGTTAAACAAGAGGGCAAATAGTTAAATAAATAAATAAAGTGCAGAGAGGGGCAAGGGCTCTCTGTGGAGGTGGCTGGGCAGTAGTGAGTGCTGAGGAGGCGGCCACAAAAGGCCTGCAGGAAGAGCCCCCAGGCTCAAGGGACAGCAAGTGCAAGGAGGTGGGAAGGAGGCTGGCGGTTCTGAAGGCCCAGTGGCCAGAGCCTGGTGATGGGGCTGGAAGTGGCGGGGCCAGGGGCTACAGGTGGTGTCTGATCCCCCTTCCCAGAAATCCGAGCAGTGTTCGGTGCACTTGCTTCCCCGTGCAACAGGGCACTCAGAGGCTGGCTTCCCCTCTGTGTGTTCCAGGCTGCCCCCAGGAGGCGTGCTAGCAGGGCCTGGTGCGGGAGCAAATGGATGAATGAGTGAGTGAATCCCTGCTGGCACCTACCTCACTGTGTGACCTCCAGCAAGTTTGGGGCCTCAGTTTCACTATGCTAAGATGCCTTCTGAGTTGTAATTCTCTTCAGTGGCTGGAGAGCGCCTGGTCTGCAGCAGGCCCTCCTGGAGGCTCGCTTTTCCTCCCCAGGACTGCAGCCGGCACCCCTCTGGGCATAGTGGGGATGGTGTGTCCTCCTCGCAGGAACCTCCGCCCAAGAGCCCATTCACTGCCCTCCCGGGTTTTCTTTTTCCTCTGCTCTCCTGTCTGTGAAACCTTTCTGCTATCGTGCCCACTGTGCTCCAGCTTCAGCTGCTGAGCTGGTGCCAGGAGCCCCCAGCCTGCAGGTGGGCAGGCAGCAGCCGCCAGGGGTTGAGGGGGACAGAAGAGCCCTGACTCTGGTGGTGATTGGGCACCCCATACCCTGTTCTGTCTCATTTGGCATTCTTCAGGCCCCAGAGACCCCAGGTGCCACCTCCCTGCCCAGCCCAGAGCGCCCCTTCTCCTTTACCCAGAGGGGGGCCTCCTGTGCCTGTGGAGAGGGGCGGCTGACCGTGGGGAGGAGGAGGAGGAAGGACAATGAAGTGGCCAAGAGCCAGCATGCATCCAGCAAGTGGCCAGGCTGTGCTGTTCCACAGATGGGCTTAGCAGTGTGCCCAGCCCCCCGGCTGTGGGGCAGCAGGAGGGCCGAGGTGGCGGGGTGGTGAGTGGCAGGAGGCCCAACACCCAGGTGTGGACGCCCCACAGCGGCCCGCTCCTCAGCAGCCCCCTCTGGGGCGGGCAGCAGAAGGGCTCTCCAGGGACAGACCTGGGAACGCTGGTCTCGTAAGATGCGGCCTGGGGTGCCCGGCACTCTGGAGGCCCCTCACTCTCCTTACCTGAGTGTTGGCTTCCGCTTCTGGAAAAAATGAGAACAGCCTGCGGCTGCTAGTGTAAGAGTAGAGAGGGCCAGATCTGGGCCAACTGGCATCCAGCAGGTCCCTAGAGCAGGTGACAGAGTGTGGAGGCACGCCCTGCCCAAGGCCTGTGGTGACACGCCTTGTCCCTGCTTCCCAGAGGACTCCCCTCTGGCCACTCACCTAGGTTGGTTGGAACCACCATGATTTCAGACTCTGCAGCAGTTCCTAAAGTTTATCAGGATATTTTACAAGGACATCTGGATTTCTTTCGTCTCTAGAAAAAGCTGGAAGCGCTGGCCACACAGGCTGACACCTGGGCAGGGACAGTTGTCGAGGCTTCCCACATCGCCAGCGCCATCGGACTCTGCTCACCCACTGGCCACGGCAGGTCTGCATCTGTCACGACCCTCAGGGGAGGAGCGCCCAGTCTCCCACTGCGCCCTGCAGCCGGAGGGGTCTGTCAAGACTCCCAAGCCCGCGGGCCCCTCTGCTCACATCCCTCCAGAGCACTGAGCAAAGGCAGGCAGGCCCCTGAGATCACTGTGGACACCCACAGCCAGGCTAGTGGGCGGGAGAGGAGAGGGCTTGGGACCCGGGGACCTGTGGTCAGGACCCCACAGCAGTCTGTGGCCTCCCACAGCCCCACCCCTGCTAGGGTCGCCGTGCCTGGCAGGCCACTTCTAGCCGCCCGCTCGCTTCCAGGGCTCTGGGTCTCCTGGGGGTCTCCTCTCTGTGACTCAGTTTCCTTAGCTGCCAAGTGGGAATTTCCTGGGGTTGTGGTGGGATGGCAGAAGTGGAACTACTGCAGGAGGCAGAGGACAAAATCCCGGCCCTAAAAGGGGCTCATTAGAGCTGCAGCAGGTGCCCAGTAGGCGGGTGTGAGGGCGCAGGCTCCGGCACCCATGCAGGCAGCAAGCAGGACATGAACGTGTGTCACAGCTGAGTTCTTGCTGGGGAGAGGGCAGGGCCAGCGGGCCGGGGTCCCCTCACAGTGTCCTCCACCTGCTGTCCCTGCCCCAGCTGCAAGAGGGGCCTTACTGTGTTTCCTTGGGCAGTAGCTGGAACAGGGCCAGGTGCCTCTGGGCAGCCGGAATGGCCAGATCTTATCCCTGCATGGTGGCACCATCCAGCGTGGAAGCACATGGGGCTTTCACTTCCCTGGGCCATGGCTTCCTCAGTGTGAAGTGGAACTACTAGAACATTCAGTGCAACATGGGGACCTTGGGGCAGAGGCCCAGGTACATGGCAGGGGCTCTGTGTGCAGTGACTGCAGCAGCATCCCAAGCACAGCCCAGCTGGATCGTGCATAAACTCACCTGTGCCCCCCTCACCCCTGCCCCCCTCACCTGTCTCCACCTCATTGTGCCCCATCACCTGTGCCCCCTCACCTGTCTCCACCTCACCTGTGCCCCACCTGTCTCCACCTCACCTGTGCCCCCTCACCTGTCTCCACCTCACCTGTTTCCACCTTACCTGTGCACTCTCACCTGTGCCCCCTCACTTGTTTCCACCTCACTTGTGCCCCCTCACCTGTGCACCCTCACCTGTGCCCCCTCACCTGTTTCCATCTCACTTGTGCCCCATCACCTGTGTACCCTCACCTATCTCCACCTCACCTGTGCCCCCTCACCTGTCTCTACCTCACCTGTGCACCCTCACCTGTGCACCCTCACCTGTTTCCACCTCACCTGTGCACCCTCACCTGTCTCCATCTCACCTGTGCCCCCTCATCTGTGCCCCTTCACCTGTGTACCCTCACCTGTTTCCACCTCACCTGTGCCCTCTCATCTGTCTCCACCTCATCTGTGCCCCTCACTTGTCTCCACCTCACCTGTGCCCCCTCACCTGTGTACCCTCACCTGTCTCCACCTCACCTGTGCCCTCTCACCTGTCTCCACCTCACCTGTGCCCCCACCTGTGCCCCCTCACCTGTCTCCACCTCACCTGTGCCCCCTCACCTGTCTCCACCTCACCTGTACCCCCTCACCTGTCTCCACCTCACCTGTGTACCTTCACCTGTCTCCACCTCACCTGTGTACCTTCACCTGTCTCCACCTCACCTGTGCCCCCACCTGTGCCCCCTCACCTGTCTCCACCTCACCTGTGCCCCCTCACCTGTGTACCTTCACCTGTCTCCACCTCACCTGTGTACCTTCACCTGTCTCCACCTCACCTGTGCCCCCTCACCTGTGTACCCTCACCTGTCTCCACCTCACCTGTGCCCCCACCTGTGCCCCCTCACCTGTCTCCACCTCACCTGTGCCCCCTCACCTGTGTACCCTCACCTGTCTCCACCTCACCTGTGCCCCCTCACCTGTCTCCACCTCACCTGTGCCCCCTCACCTGTCTCCACCTCACCTGTGCCCCCTCACCTGTGTACCTTCACCTGTGCCCCCTCACCTGTGTACCCTCACCTGTCTCCATCTCACTTGTGCCCCCTCACCTCACCTGTGACTAGTCTGCCATTTCTGGCTCCCACTCCTGCCCTCTTCAGTACCACCCGGGAGGTGCTGTGTGGATATTAGAGGGGTGGGGTTCTGAGGGACAGGGACCCCAGTCATTGGTCCCTAAATCTGCCACTCTCTCCGGGAGGACCTCAGGGGTCTGGTGTAAAGAGCACCCCGCTCCCCAAGACCTTTGTGAGATCCCGGCAGCTGCCCTCTGAGTGCCTGGCACTCTGTCCTCCCACCTCTGAGCCTGGCCACTTGCCTGCTACATGTCACAGTGCTCTGGCAGGACTCCACTGGCAGGACCACGGTGCAGAACTGCTCTCTAGGTGAGGCATGTGGCCTGGGAGATTCTGTCACCCTTGTCCCCCAACAGTCTACCAGTTGGCCTGCCTTGTGGGGGGACCCTGCTGAGGGGCCAGGGAGAGTGCTAAGGCTGTGGCCACCTGCTGGTGGCAGCATTTATTTATGCAGATAAGTACTGCATGCTGCCTGCAAAGGGGCAGCCACAAATCTCACACTGGCCACATGGTGGCTGGGGTGAGTCTCCAGGCAGAGTTTCTGAGTGTGGTTTTTCAGGAACCAGGAGTCCAGCCGGGACGGCACATGTCCATCACTCACCCCCCCCCCCGGGAGGGCTGCAGGCAGGACCTCAGGAGAGGGGCAGAGAAGGGACGGGGAGCCCGGGGCAGTGAGTCACGATTCAGTTTACACAGTGTAGATGGACGGGCAGAGGCCAGGGCGGACCACACTGTAGACGTCTGTCGACCGGGCAGTACGTTGCTGTCCCTGAGCGGTGCCCAGGTCACCTCCTTCTGCCTTTGGGGGCCCGTGTCACCATGCAGCCCACTTGAATACTGTTGACTTTGGCAGTTGGCCTGCGGTCCCCCGCTCTGAGCCACACTGCTGGGGCTGGCACCGGAGGCTGGGCTCCTGCCTGAGACTTGCTGGGTGACCTTGGGCAAGTGGCTGCCTCTCTCTGGGCCTCAGTTTCCTCCCCTCTGAAGAGAGGGGATCCTCCATGGTCAAGTCCCTGAGCTCTGGGCTGTCAGCCCACTATCAGCAGTTCCAGGCACCCTTCACGTGACCTCCGAAGCCACCTCCCAGGAGAGCGCAGGCCCAGCGTGGCGGTGTGAAGGCAGTGGGAGGCTTAGCTCACAGAGCAGCTGTGCTTGCAGGGGCCTGGGGCTGCAGAGCCCCCGGGCTGTCCCGAGCCGTGTCCCCTTGGTTGGCAGCACTCAGGGCCTCCAGCCACTGCTGCTGCAGCTCTGCAGAGGGGGCGCTCAGGTACCAGGACTGCTGGGCCTGCTGCAGCTTCCACACGTGCCCTGCGTCCGGCCTCTCCTCCGGGCCGGGCACGCTCACCGTGCAGCTGGCGAGAGGGATGGTGCAAGGCAGCCGGCCGTCCTGCACAGAAAGCGAAGCGTCAGTGGGGGCCTCAGCCCCAGGCCTCGGCTCGCCCCTGTGACGCAGGCCCTCCCAGGCAGCCACCCCCAGCCCCATCATGCAAGGTGGGTGCCGAGCCGGAGAGGCCTGGCAGCCATGCATGCACTGCCTTCTGTCAGCAGAAGGCCGGGTGGCCCCTGGCTCTCTGAGGGGGGATATGGGGGGCACCCTGCCTACGTCACAGGACGCCGGGACTCCATGGCCTCCCTGGGACTGCTGGGCCTCTGGGGAGGAGAGGCAGGATGAACCCCTGTGACAGGGCAGCAACTAGGGCTCAAAGGGGCTGGGTGAGCGTCCCTGACGGGGCTATATGGGCTCTGAGCTGGGCTTAACAGGCTCTGCAGCTCCCAGCCCGCCCAGAATGCATGAATGAATGAAAGGGTGAATAAATGAATGCATATGGGAAGGAGGGGCCAGCCCCCTCAAACCCCACTGGCCCTGGGGCCCTGTCTCCGTGAGTGGGCAGCAGAGGAGGGAGTAGAGGGCTCTGGGAAACCTGAGGCCCAGATGACACTGCTCAGCAGGTGGGCCCCAGACAGGTGGCCCAGGCCTGCTGTGGGCACCCCAGGCCTGAGGTTCTTGGCTACAGGAGCAAAGTGGACCCCCCACCACCCAGCCTGGGGGCGGGGACACGTACCTGGCTACCTCCCTGCAGGTGCAGCACGTGGGGGGCTGACGTGGGGATGGCAGCCCACACCTCGCTCCAGGCTTCACTGCTTTCTAGCAGCCGCAGGGGGCCGCAGAGCAGGCTGGGCCAAGCGTCTGCAGTGGGTGGCTTCTGGGGACACAGAGGCACAGGTTAAGGGTCAGTGGTCATGCTGTCTCCTGCAGAGGCTGGGGCAGGGCCAGGGCCACTGCTTGGAAGGAGCTGGCTGTGGAGGCACAGCCTAGGCCTGGACAGAGATGGGGCCCAGCCTCACCCAGCTCCAAGGGCCACTTGAGGCCAGGACTGCAGAACACAGAAGCCTGTGGCATCAGGCGGGGTTTGGAGGCGGGACCCCTGAGGGGAGGGAGTCCACATGCTGGGTCAGGACAGCATCAATGTAACAGGAAAACCCAACAGCAAGGACCCGAGGGTGGGTCAGGCCAAGGGACTGAGTGTGTTTTCGTGCACACACAGCCCCCCTAGCTTGTGTTTTAGAGCATCAAGTCTCCCGAGCCATCTGGATGTGGCTGAGACACTGCCTGCTGGGGCTGGTGCCCTCACCCTCGGGGCTTCGGCAAGGCGGGAGCCCCCTTGCACACCCTCGAGTCACGCGCCCCACAGACCTGGGCTCCCAGAACACACCACAGTGTTTAAATTGTAGGAATGAGAGAGCACAAGTGGGCAATGCAAGCGTCTTCCTTCACCATCGGGATCGTTCTGCACACGGTCCTAATATACTTACTACGTCCTCGACTTCTTAGACCAAAGACCCAGATCAGGCTCCAACCACCCTGGAGTCTGAGCAGCTGGAACCTTGAGCACACTGCCCCCAGCCCACCTGGCCACCCCGCCAAGCCTCTGGGAGAGACACCGACATTGGAGACGGCTTCCCAGGAGACGGCAGCCTACAGCTGGCTGTATCAAGTGGAGAGAAAGGAAAATGAACTCTTCTGGAAAACCTTGTTTTCTCTTTTCCAGCTTTCTTGTGATCCAATAAAATAGGGACTGTTTTCTTGAGGAAAGAAGGCAGGGAAGGCAGCAGCACCCGCAGGAAGAGGAGGGGAGGAGGAAAGAGCGGGGAAGGGGCGGGGGAAGAGGGTTGATGCCCTGCCTGCCTCCAGTGCCCTGCTTGTCCTCTGGCAGCTCGCAGGGGGCGGGCCACGACGTGGGCAGTGTCTCCCCTTGCATGGGCCTCAAGGCCTGGACTTGGGGCAGCTCCAAGCCTCACCCTCCAACCAAGGTGACCAGGTGTGAGGCTGACACTTGTTCCCATCTAACCCCTGGGTGCAAATGGCTTCCAAGACGCAGCCCCAGCACACACACACACACACACACACACACACACACACACACACACACACACAAATTGTGGCTGCTCCAGCTGTTCCCAGCAGCTCTCCCTGGTTCCCAGGGCCTGTGGACCCCATCGAGACACCCCCAATCTGTCCTGGGCCCCAGGAATCTCTGGGAGCAGAGATAGCTGAAGCTGTGGGGGTGGAGGTGGGGTGTGGACACGTGTCTGGTCCAGGAGGCTCTGCTGTGCCTCTCGGAAGAGAGCAGGACCCGGAGCACCCACCTCTGTGCTCTGCTTGGGCTCGGCTGAAGCCTCAGGGCTGGGGCTCTCGGGGGCCACCGGCTGTGTGAGGAAACACTCTCTGCAGACACGGCTCTGCCTGCAGTTCTCAGCCTTGAACTCGGAGCACTTCCCACAGATGACCTGTGAGACAGAGGGTACCTGTGACCCCACCTCCCAGGGACACAGGACTGTCCCGCAAGGGGCCAGGAGAGGCAGGAGGGATAAGGGCTCCCCCTCCAGTAGCCGCATTCAGCAGCAGAGAGTGAGGCTGGTCCTCGTGGACGTCCAGGGCCTGCTCTCCTTGCCCGGATGGTCCAGAGTCCAGGAGTCCGTGCGCTGGAAGGCGAGTGGGAGAAGCCACCAGGCACATGAGAGAACGCCCCATCACGAGTCATCAGGGAAAGGCAAATCAAAATCACCACAGAAAACACTTCGCACCCCTTAGCATGGCTGTTCTCAAAACAAAACAAAACAAAACAAAACAAAAACCAAAAAATAGAAGATAACTAGTGTTGGCACAGATGTGGAGAAATTGGAATATGTGCATTGCTTGTGGGAATGCAAAATGCAATAGCTGCTGTGGAGAACAGTGTGGCATTTCTTCAAAAAATTAAACACAGAATTATCATATTATCCGGCAGTTCCACTTCTGGGTATATGCCCCAAAGAATCAAAAGCAGGATCTCAAATATACATTTGTATATTCATGTCCATAGCAGCATTATTCACAATAGCCAAAATGTGAATGAGCAAAGTGGGACACAGCCCACGTCCACCGGCAGTGGAACAGAGGAATCTGGTCCATCCGAAAGGCGCAGTGTCACTGACCCGGGTGGGTGGAGCATGGGAAGGAAGCCGAGGGGTGCTCCATAGCTCCTCCCACTCCAGACCCCACCCTACTCCAGCAGACCCCTCGGATCCCCTACTCTGGCTCCTCAGGGCTGCATCCTATTGGTTATCCTGTCTCTGCCTCAGTCTCCCTTCCTCTGCTGGATCCTTCTCCTAGCACACAAAGAGTCTCCTCCAGTTTCAGCACCACCCACATGCCCCTTTCCAGCACCCCTTCTCCCATTTGCCTCCACCCTTATGCTCTGAATGCTGTAGGACCCGGAGGTCTCTGCTCAGACCTCGTGAGAGTCCAGTTTGAACCGCACCCCATGGTCGCTGGTGTCTGGGGGACCGTGGCATTCAAACATAGAGATGAATTTCACGGGCGTCAGGAGATTTGGCAGAGGGAGAGAGTATTCTCTTTAAGTAGATGGAAGGCACCCTCTTTTGAAGTCTCAGTTTTATGGGGATTTTGTTCTTGGAATTTCTCTTTCTTTTATGACTTCCTTTGTGAGGAAGAAGGAACACTGTGCAAACCAAGGCAATGAGAACCAAACTAAGCCACAGTGGCTGGCACAGAGAAGCAGGAATGTCACGGAGGGCACTAAAGCCACCTCTGCTGGGTGGTGGAGTCCAGCTTGGCCATGAGGATGCTCTCTCCAGGGAAGATTAGCAGAGGCTGGAGCTTTTGTTCCCAAATAGTCTCAAAGTGAAACCTATGGCTGAGCAGGGGCCTGGGCATATACTCTTAGAATGGTTCATAAATTAAAGCAACAGATTCCATGCAAGTCTGATAGGGAAAGCAGGGTTAAGTTAAATCCCCTAATCCCAGAGAGTGCAAACTGGACCCCAAACTGAGCTTTATTTAAGAGGTACAGATCATATTACCCATCTGCCTGTCCATCCACCTTCCACCATCCACCATCCACCATCCATCTATTCTCCAACCATTTGTCCATATATTCATCCTCCATCCATCCACCCATTCATCTCTCCATCCTTCACTCACCCATCCATCCATCCATTCTCCAGCCATTCTCTAACCATACTTCCTACATCTCCACTTCCATTCATACTTCCATTCACCCATCCATCCATCTACCCACCCATCCATCCATCTATCCACCCACCCATCCATCCATCTATCCACCATCTATACATCTACCAATGCATCCATCTTCTACCCATCCAACAACCCACTCACCTATCCACCCACCTATTCATTTATCCATCTATTTATCCATCCATCCATCCTTCATCCACCCACCCATCTACTCATCTATCCATCTACCTATCCATCCATCCATCATCCATCTACCTATCCATCCGTTCATCTGCCCACCTCCCTCCTACCACTAGTGTGATAAGGTACAACCAGGAACATCAGGTCAGGCACAGACTGCCCTTTGGAAAAACACCTCCAAGGCATCCATGTGCTGAGATCCACTTGCTAACATAGATTCAATTTTAATATCTTAACCTGAAAATACTTGAATCATTAGTTCTTTTCTCAGGGATATTTTTATGTTCAATTATTGAGCGACAACTCAGCAGCCCATTCTCCAGAGACCAGGCTTGGGGTTGAGTGAAGAGGAATGGATGGTGTGCACGTGGAGCACTAGTCGGAGACGGCACCTCCCCCTTGTCACACAGGCCTACCAACCTTCACAGCCCTGGGCGCTGGGGCAAAGGCCAGCAGGAGGAGCTCCCACCATGGCCACATCCTTCCCCTTCCCCTTCCCCATGCACCTCGCACAGTGTGGGGACACTGTCCCCCCCTGGTCATCAAGGTCACTTATGTGGGGGCTCTGCGGTTCCAAATCCAGCACTTTTTCAACCACAAGGAGTGTTTGTCAAACACCAGAGCTGGCCAGAGAAAGCGACTAGCCTCTACTTCAGATGGGACAACTTCTCTTTCAAGGGCACCTGCATCTGTGAGGCGGGACCTGGACAGCCCTCGGTAGGGCGGTGCTATCTGAGCCCCCACCTCGCTCTCCCCGCGACTCACCGCCCCGCACAGCTTGCAGTGGTGCCTCCTCTTGGTGATGGAGTTGAAGGTCTCGGCGCAGCTCTTGCAGCTCTGCTTCTCCTTGTCACGCCTGGTCTTGGAGGATAGTTTTCTGGGCTCGAGCTACAAGGAGGCAGATCACCACCATCGGCTTCCGAGTCATGTGTGCGCCCCGCCCCACTGGCTGGTGGACCGGCAGCTCTCCCGATTGTACCACCGACGCCCACTCAGGCCAAAAGTGCGGGAGGGAGTGAAGAGCCAAGAGCCCCACATCCCCTTCCCAGCCTGGCCTGTTAGGGGCTGCCTGGCAGTGCCTCACTTTGAGTAAGATTATAAACAGAGAAAGACCTTTATGCCTGGAACAACGTGGCCAATGCCGTTATCTGGTGTGTCTGAGCAAATATGGAGGGGAGCCAAAGCTGGAGGAGAACAGCACTTACTGGGGCGGGCTGCAGTGCGCACAGACACAGCCCGCAGCACTGGGGACCAGGGTGTCCATGCCCCACCCCGGCCGAGCTCGGAGCTCCAGCCTGCACCCGGCCACACGCCTGCTCTGTGCGGGCTCCAGGGGGTGCCCATCCTGCCAGGCGCACCACATGGATGAACATACATGTGCACCTGGCCTGCGCTCGCGGAGAGCTTGGAAACATCCAGGAGCACATGTGAGGAAACCAAAGGAGAGCCGAGGCTGGAGCCAGGGGCTTTACTGCCCTCTCTGCCTCCTGCCATGTCACCTGAACTTCCTACGGAGGAGGGTGGTGTGGAGGGCGGGAGGAGGCACAGCTTGGGGCCGCCCCACCAAGCCTCGGTTTCCCTGGCTGATTATGAGCAGTGCAAGGTGGGGGACAGGCCCCAGGCTCCTGCCCCTCATCAGCTGTGAGACTCTGGACCAGTCACTTGGCTTCTCTGAGCCTCAGTTTCCTCATCTGTAAAATGGGAGGAGTGACACTCTCTGGGCCCTGAGCCTCATTACAGTGCATGAAGTCCTGACTGTTTGGGCAAGTTGCCAATTACCCTTTCGGGTTCCAGTGGCCTGCAAACCTCCGGAAGTGCCCCATCCTTTGATGAAATAACTTCCTGTGTTTTGAAACTCGCCCGCCCCAGCATTTCCTTTCTGAGGAGGAGGCCACAACTCCCAGCAGGTGGCCTCCCCTGACACCCCTTGCTGCTGAAATAGACCATTAGGAGTTTAAGAAATGCCAGAAATATTTACAAATTCCCCAGGATGTCACAGCTGGAGCTGCCACTAGAAATGTTTATCTCAACCTCTCTGGTGTACAGACAGGGAAACTGAGGCCTCGAGGCATTCCGTTTAAAAGAAAAACATCTAAAATTACCTTACCATTAGTAATTCTGAGTAAAATAAAATGAGGTCTGGGATTTGTTTTAAAATGTTACAGAAAAAAAAAGAGTGTGTGTGTGTGTGTGGCGGGCCAGGGACACAGGAAGCAAGAATGGCACGAAGTCACATTTTTCCGAGGCTGGGAGGGGAGAGGCCTCACTGCACTGTGATCCCTACTTCTGAGTCCAAAACTTCCATAATAAAAAGTTGAACAAAATAAGCTAAAAAGATGTTTAACATAAACTCTGCAAATTTAAGGAAAAAGAGATGAGCTGATTGGGGGTGGGGGAGCGAGGAAGGGGTGGCTCGGACCGGGTGTCAGCACTGGGGGCTGTGATGGGTTGAACTGTGTCCCCAAAATTCATATGCTGAAGGCCTAACCCCCAGTACATGTGATGGATGTGACGGTATTTGGCCTTTATAGAGGTGATCAAGTTAAAATGAGGTCCTTAGAGTTGGCCCTGATTCAATCTGACTTGTGCCCTTATAGCGAGAGCTGATGAGGACACAGACACACAGAGGTGACCAAGTGAGGACACAGGGAGAAGCCACTATCTACAAGCCAAGGAGAGAGGCCTCAGGGGAAATTAGTTCTCTGACCCCTTGACCTCAGACTTCCAGCCTGCGAGAACTGTGAGAAGTAAATTACTGTGGTTTAAGCCATCAGTCTATGGTATTTTGTGGCAGCCCAAGCAAACTGATGCCTCGGTGCAAATTCTGGCCCTGCACTTGCTAGCCGTGTGGCCTGGTACGTGGCCTCCCTAACTGTCCCTACCTGCAGGTCCCACTACCATGAGGCCAGCACCCTGGCCCGCCTCGCACAGGAGCCTGAGGGCAGGGCTGGCTCCTCTAAGGATGATGAGAAATTTGCTCTGCCTTGGCCCCCAGCATCTCCTGCTCATGGCTCCCTCTGTGGCTCATCTCACGCTCTGGACCACAGTCAGGGCTCCGAGCCCACAAGGGAGGAATGGGCTGAGAGCACAACCATGTTCCCCTGGGCCTCCCCTCTTCCCTAAGTGCCACCCTCACCCAGCCCCCCACAGCTCTCTGCCCCACTTGGGGCTTCTTCCCTTGTGACGTTCTCTCAGGACTGCTGGGAGGACCCACACATGCACTGAAAAGGAGAGGAGAGAGGGGCCCGGGGCAGCGGAGGGACAGAAGAAGGAATGAAGCCATCCATGGGATCTGCCGTGTAGCCTTCACCCTCCTCCTACCTTCAGGGTGTCCCCAAATTGCTGTTCTCTAGGTGAGGACTCTAAGGGTGCCAGATGTGGGAGTGGTTCACAGCAGGGCAGCCTGACATGCACCTCGGCCCAGAACTGCCTGCTCTAGGGGACCCTGGGCAGGGGACCCCTGCCACGGCACCCAGCAGGCGGCAGTGCATGGTGGCTGAGAACGCAGGAGGCTGTGGGTGCTACAGGGAATGCCTGAGGGGCAGGGGGCAGGAAGGGGGCTGGCGGGGCAGAGGCCAGCCCACAGGGGAGGCAAGGCGAGAGTGGGCCAGGGTGTGCAGCCAGGAGCCCAGCCCCTGAGGACCGGTCAGTGCACAGTTCCAGGGGCAGGCACTGAGGGTCCCACTGGCTTCCTTCATCAGGTGAGTCTTCCCATGGTCGGCAGCCAAGGAGCTGAGTGGCGCGCTCAGGCAGGGAGGTCCTGGCCTGGCCCGCTCCATGGGGCTGAGGACTGTAGCCACCCTTGCTGTGGCTATGCCTTGACTGTGCCGGTTGCCCAACACTGAGGTCTGGCTGGACTTGTAGATGGCAGGGGACCAGGTGACTGAGGGGCAAGGAGCCCACTGAGTGGCAGGGACAGGTGTCCTGGCTGACCGCACTCCCCTTTTGGATGATATCAGGCACGCTGACCAAGGGAAGGGGCCTCAGGTTTTCTGTGTGGACGTCAGGACATCAGAAAGGCTGGCCCGAGCCTTGCCAGGAAGATGGAGATAACTGGCTGAGCAACTCTACCCCAAAGGGCCCCAAACACCCAAGTCAACCCAGAAAGTGGTCTCCTCCGAGGGCCAGCAGACGCAGCTGCACATCTGGGGCGGGGCAGCAGCTGGGAAAGGCAGAATCAGACCCCAGTCAGCGCCCCAGTGAAACCACATCTGTCATGTCAGAGGTGGGAAAGGAGCCATGGGACATGGGTTCAGGCACTGCCTGGGGTTGTTCCATCAGGAGGCGGCTGGAGAGGTGGTGGCCACTCTGCTCCTTATGTTGCCAGGAGCCCTGGGGGGTGGGCATGGGCGGGGCCTTGTCCTAGGAAAGGCAGAGCTGGGGGAGGGAGGGCAGCACATGGGAGGAGCCCTTGGCACAGCTTGTGAAAGGGAGGCCGGGGCGAGTGCCTCGCTGGCACCTCGGAGGGATCCATGTGTCACCCACGGTGAGTCTGCGGCCCTGGGAGGTCATTCAGATTGTGACATTTTGTGCAGCTGTTTACAGTGACGCAACTTTTGCAAAACGGAGAAGGCTTTGAATTCTGGGAGGCCCCTTGCAAAACTTCCTGGTTTGGGTTTAGCTTCTCTTGGGAAAGAGGGGCTTACAGAGACTACACGACTGAGGACATAAGTGCTCAGGAAATAAAACCATGCCCCTGGAGTGGATTTATTTCACTCTCTAAATATACTAAAAATAAGAGTTAAGTTTGGTCTAATGTAGTGAAAATCACTCCATTTGGTGTGAGAATTAACTTACTTTTCAGCACCTTGTATTAAAATGTAGACCAGGCTCACCCTGTGCAGCGCAGCACACACACCGAGCTGGCCCGGGTCCCCCAAATCTCCCCTGTGCTCAGTCTCTGCTCACAGAAAGACGCCACTGAGAAACACACGGCCAGGCCAGGCCATGTCCACTGGTGGCGGCGAGGCCCCGTGCTAGAGCTGGGGCTGTTGTTTGGTTGTTTGTTGTGGAGCCCAGCCTTGGCTTAGGACAGAGAAAAGAGCCTGGATCTGGAATGTGGCCCCGAGCACCCAGCTGCCACGGGACATGCAGAGCCCAAGGAGGGCTGAGCTCTGGGTCAGGAGAAGGAAAGTGAGTGAGGCAGACTGCACGTCCCCCTGCCAGGCGTGGCCACCAAGGCCCAGCAGGTCTGCCGACCACAGCCGGGCCTGGGCAGGCCCCCAGACGTGGACAGGAGCCCTGAGCTGTGGGGTTCCCATCAAGGGGCACCTGACTGCTTCTTCCATCTCTGCCCAGGGCAAAGAGAGGCTCCAAAGGCGGTGCTTGCCCAAAGCCTGGCTCCAGGGCCAAATCCAAGCCTGTGTCTTTCCACAGGGGAACACATTCTAAAACACAGCCTTTCAGGTTCGCTCCAGCTAGAACATTCTCTGATCTGGGCACCAACCCCAGCCAGCCTCTGATGTGGGATCCCATCCCACCTGCAGATGCCTGTGCTAATGCCCTCGGGCCAGTCCCAGGTCTCCAGCCCAGGCCTGCCCACCCTGCGGCCCCGGCCCATTTCTGCTTCCCTGCGTCCCCAGGGCACTGAGGGTCCCATCTCTGGGGCCTGTGGGCTCACATCCAGGGACAGCTGCACCAACAAAGAATGGGTGGCTCTCACCGCACCTTGATGCCTCTACAGCCAGCGAGTGACCACTGGCACCTCCGGAAGCCATCTCAGGGCCCAGGGCTGAATGGCGGGGGTCACCGTGTACGGTTCAGCTGGGTTTCCCCGCGTGAGCCGTCCAGGTGGGAGGCAGCGCTCCGTGCCAGGGCCTCATTGTGGGGAGTTTATGCTGCCGGCCCTGGCGGAGGGGTGCAGGGCTGATCGGGAGTGCTTCATACATATGTGTGAGGGCGAAGAGTCCCCCCACTGGGACCATGTAATTGTGTGCCCTCTTTGAGCAGCTCATGCTTTGGTGAGTGCAGTCGCACACTCCAGAGTACATGCCGCTTTTCATAATGGCCCCAAAGGCTTCAGGAAAGGGGCTGATAGAGCTATATGGGTCTGGGGTGCGGCCGGCCTCACACATAGCGTTTGGCAATTCCAACAGTTGCTGATGGTGATTCTCGTGGGAAATATTTGCACCAGGGACTCGAGAGGAGGCCACATGGCTTCAAAGACATGGGCAGGGCAGGCAGCAGGCAGGGGCCAAGCTCCCGGGGCCTGGTGGAGCAAGGGCTGGTCAGGGCATGGCAGGGGAGGGTGGCCAGGAAGCAGGGTGAGGCCAGACAGAGCCCAGACAAGACGCAGAAAGCCGCTCAGGAGCGTAGACAGTGAGGACACCGCGGTGCTGTGCTCAGACTTCCTGATTTTCAGTTTTAACAAGATTTCCCCTCCGGTGGCTGTGTACTCTGCAGAGGCCAGGCAACCATGTGGCCCTTTCCGCGTGCCCACTTTGTGTTATTTCGAAGTCCCCCTCCCTCCTGCACTCCGTGGTGCCCTGAAATGCTACATCCTTTCCTGAAGCCTCCTGGCTTTCATGGCGGTTCCTAAAGCCTGGCCAGCCCAGGCACATGGTTGGCACGACCTGGCATGGTTAAATCATGAGGAGGGCGTGGCAGCCAGCAACCGGCCAACCTGGACAGGCCTGCCTCAGTGGGCTCAACCCTGGGCTATGCAGGCAGCCCAGAGGAGGGGCTCTTGTCTTGCTCCTAGAGATTTAGCTCAGGACAGGGACGCCTGCTCCCTGAGAACAAGGGGACAGCAGGAGGGGGGAAAGGTGGCCAGTCGGCCCCACCCTCCCTCCCTCCACTCCTGCCCCCAGGAGGCCCTGTGTCACAGCCAGCTCACCTCACTGCCATGAACCTGTTTCCTCCTGCATAAAATGGGGTTGGCCACAGCAAAACCCCAGAATGGCACCCCCAACAGGGTGATGTTTATAGAGAACTCTCGAGGATGGGGTTAAAGTTCAGGCAGAGTCATCAGCTGTTCTATGCCTGGGCCAGCAGGACACACGGCAACACCTGCCTAAGATGCAGCGCTGGCCCCGGTGTTTGTGTGTGTGTGTGTGTGTGTGTGTGTGTGTGTGTGTGTGTGTGTGTGTGAGAGAGAGAGAGGGAGAGAGAGAGAGAGAGACAGAGACAGAGACAGAATGAGAGAGATAGAGGGATTAAGAGACACAGATTGCGCATGAGCGGGGGGTAGGCTTGTCAGAGAGAATGTGGGGGCTATGTCCCCAAGGTGGTGGCCACGGGCAGCCGACCCAGGCAGGTGTCATATCATTCCTCTTGGCCAGGCCAGCAGCAGGGAGAAGCGAGGTGCCAGCGAGAGTCGCCTTCCCAGCACGTGGGGTGCAATGGCCACACCAGGGTGGTCTAGGGTTGCGTGTGGCTGTCAGTGCGAGTGAGCCTCAGGCTGAGATCCAGTGACAGCAGCTCCGGGCTCTGATGCTCGTGACGCAATGGCACACTCTGCATCCTGTCTCACCTCCCAGGCTAAATGGAGGAGGAAAGGCCTCACCCAGTTCCCATGGCCGTCCCTGACACAGGCATGGGCCACGCTGCCTTAGGGGGCCAGAACACAATGAGAGCGGTGAGAAGGCCCAGGCCTCCCTGTCCCTGGCTTGGGGTAGGGACTAAGCTGTCCTCTTTGCAATACTGAGCCTCATAAGGACCTGGCACTACACTAGGACATACTTTATCCCAGCACAAGTCATGCACATTAAGAGCACAAATGTCACGTGGAGCTCAGAGGACTCTCACCTGTGTGCACAGCTGTGTGTCCACTCCTGGCCCAGGTAAGGGACATCCCCCCACTGACAGGCTCCCCTGTGCTTGCCTTGCAGAGCCCCAGTCGCAGACACAGCTTCACGTTCGCACAGCCAGGCCCCAGGCACATGGCAGGGGGTAAGGATGACCCTTTGCCCCTTGCCCCCCGGGTGGCCCTGGTCCAGTCCCTCCAACCCCTTCGCCCTGGTCTGACCTTCCTTTTCCACCTTCTGCCCCTGCTGATCTCTGGGTGTGGGTCACTCACCCCTGTCGCGGCCCCGCTGCCTTCGGCCGTCACCGCAGGCTCCCCGGAGCTGGTGCTACTCACCTGGAAGGGACACAGGGCCAAGTGAGAGGGGATCCAGGGCCACACAGCCTCATGCAGCAGGGGACATTTTCTGAAAACCCCAGCAGCTCTGTGCATTGAGGGCAGGTGTAGGAGAAGGAATTCTTGGGGTCCAGTATTTGCTGGGACTGAGGAGAAGCCGCTGCCCTCCTGGCCTGCTCCTTAGCTGGGAGGCTTCTCGGGAATGAGCATCTCCCCGCACGGTGGGTGGTGGGCAGGTGATGCTCCCTGTGGCCCACCGGGATGGGGGCCCTAAATCACACCCAGTCGCCCAGTGCGGAGGGTCCCTTTGGATTCCCTCCTCATCCTTCAGGGGTCCCTGTGGAGTGTCTGCAGCCCCTGGCATTCTCATGCAGAGCAACGTGCTGGGTTTAGCCTCTGGGCAGAAAGGGATGGAGCTGACAGCCATGCTCAGTGTCACCTGCTCCCAGATCACCTCCACTCAAGGCTGGTCACAAGCTGGGAATGGTGCAAAGTTTGCTTACAAAATACACCTGGCAAGCAGAAAAAACCAGCAGACTTGGTGCAACTATGAAGTGGATAACTGGCGAGCTGTGTTGCTGCCAGCAGAGCCCGGGAGGTGGTGGGGAGGGAGGAGCCAGCCTGGGGCTGGCCAAGCTGGAGAGAGCCGGGCACCTTCACCCTGAAGTCGTGCCTGGTGCCCCCACAAAGGCTGGAGCCTGGCACTGTGCCCAGGGCACTGTCCCTCCTGGGTGTCTCCCCAGGTGTGTCCCTGCGGCAGCCCCAGCCCCCCATACCTCACCTAGGACCAGCCACTCCAGGGCCTTCCTTGCAGCAGGCAGAGATCTGCCTCCTGGTCCAATCCTCTCGCCCTGACGCCAGGGAAGCCCAGGAATAGCTGAGGCTGGGCCCCAGGGCTATGGCCCTGACGCCCCTGCCTGGCTCTTCCATGGGGACCCTGCAGCCCTGACTCTTGCATGAAATCCCAGTCTCCACATAAAATCCCCCCTGAGCCTTTAGGGCAGCTCCATATGGGGACAGGGAATGAGCTATCCCCACTGCTCCCTCCAAGGTGCTCTGTGCTGCCACCTCTCAGGGTGTCAGGGTACAGGAGCATTTGGGGAGAAAACACAACTGCAAAAGGTTATCTGCAGTTGCTGAACATGCTGTGCACATGGTATGTAGGAAGGGTGTCACGGCCCTGTGACGCTAGCGCTACCATCTGTGGCCTGGGCATGTCACCAAGCTTCTCTGAGACTCTGCTTCCACAAGGATAAGATAATGACCCTCAGTACATAGGGCTGCAGTGCAGAGGGCACAAGATGACAAAATGCTCTCCAAGGAACACTCCTCCACACCTGAATCCCGCCTTGCCCACACCTGGGCACTGACCACTGGCCTCAGGGCCCAGCCGGCTACAGTGGGCACTCAGTAAGGGGGACAGATGAGTGGGCATCGCCAGCTGCCAGCTGCCCTGGTCCCTAGTCCTGGCATGAGGAAAAGCACCAGGGGGACGAGCTTCCCACCCCGACACCCGCCCCTTCTGCTCCCCGGCACCCAGCCACAGCCCCGCAAGGTCCCTCCACGGCCCAGGCTGCTGACTCACGGGCATGTCTAGAGGAGGGCTGGGGTCCTCGTCCTGGCTGAAGGTGCTGCCGAAAGCCTTGAAGGTCTGGCTGTTCTGCTTGTGCTTCTCGATGGTGGCCTGGATGATCTGAACACACAGCAAGGCAGCAGGGCCATCAGGGAGTGTGGGAGGTTGCCACCCCGTGGGAGGGTCCTGGTATTCTCAGGACAGCTCCCCAGCCACCAGCCGTCTCACTTCCCCCAACCAACAGCTCGGGAGCCTCCCAGGAGAGGACACTGAGCCTGCAACTCCTTCAGGTCCATTTATGTTTATTTATGGGGGGGGGTCCTCAAACAAGCTATTGGTTTGATAAGGCTGTGGCATCTGAAGGTGTTTATGAAGGCACAGCACAGTCACTGCATCCCTCGGGGCAGGTCGTGGGGACCAGCAGTGCTGGGGGCCTTGGGGCTGCCCCTCTCTCTGCTCCAACATGAATGACTATACTGCCCAATAACTTGGTCATTTGGTTACTTTAAAACCTTAGGAACTTCAGGCCAGGCATGGTGGCTCACGGCTGTAATCCTAGCACTCTGGGAGGCCGAGGTGGCGGATCACTCAAGGTCAGGAGTTCGAAACCAGCCTGAGCAAGAGTGAGACCCCATCTCTACTTAAAAAATAGAATGAAATTAATTGGCCAACTAAAAATATATATAGAAAAAATTAGCCAGGCGTGGTGGCACATGCCTGTAGTCTCAGCTACTCGGGAGGCTGAGGCAGGATTGCTCGAGCCCAGGAGTTTGAGGTTGCTGTGAGCTAGGCTGAGGCCACTGGCACTCTAGCCCGGGCAACAGAGACTCTGTCCCCAAAAAAAAAACTTTAGAAACTTCACCTGAATCCATTCTTTCTTCTCTTCTTCCGTCCTATAAAACCAGAACAGTATTTTATTAATCTAGTCTTGGATGCCGACTATAAACTACCAGCTGCCTCTCAGCCCTGCAGCGCACACCCAGCCGCTCGCTGTCTTATAAATGCAGCTCAACGCAAAGATTGGCCCCGAGGGCTCCAAAACACTGGCCCGGTGGGGCCTGGTGGGGTCTGGTGGGGCCTGGTGGGGCCTGGTGTGCCTCGTGATGCCCTCTGCCACAGATGCACATCGACGTGTCCCTGGGCCATAGCGGTCATTACAAAGATCCCATCATCTGCAGGGTGTGGGAGACAGGACCCTCCACACATGGCCAGTCATGGCATCAGCCTGGCATCACCTTAAAGGGTGCTGTGACAACAGCCACCAAAATTTAAAACAGATGTATACCCTTTGACCAGCAAGTCTGCATCAGGAATCTGATGGCTACAAGGACACGTATGCACAAAAGCCTAAGCACAAGGAGACCATTCGCAGCACTGCTGGCAATGGCCAGGTGCACGGGGAGCCCAGGCCCCCGTCAGTGGGAGCTGGTTGATGATCACAATGGAGAATGATGCTGCTTCAGGAAGCGCACTGATGTGGGATGATTCTTGATAAGTTAAGAGAAAAAAAGGGAGATATAGAACCAGCTACCCAGTAAACAGCCATCTGTGATTCAAAAAGTAGATATAGGTGTGTGTGCATAGAACATCCTGGAAGGGTACTTAAGGTATGGTTAGGAATATCTGTAGGCCCAGGGACAGGAGGTGGGCAGAGGCTTAACTTTCACTGACTTCCCCTTGGAATTGCTGCATTTTAAACCACGAATAAATAAATAAATAAAAGCATATTACAAGGTCATCCAGTTTAGGGGGGCAAAGGGCATCTTCTAAAATTTCAGGTCAAAGCCATGCACACAGCTGTGGACACTGGAGCAGCCGTCAGGTAGCAGCTGCCCTACCGAGTCTGCAGCTCCAGCGACCTTTTTCTTCCTGTTAGGATGAATGTATGTGCTGCATTTGGCTTGATGATATCCTGCACCTGCAGGGACAAGGACAAAGAGCAAAACATGAACAAAACCAAGCCGGTCGTTGCAGCGACTCCAGCCTCACGTTCTCTGACTTGGGGGCGTTTCCCTGAGGAAGTGGCAGAGGTGACCCAGCAGCCCCTGAGGTCTGCAGGGAGGGGGCCGCCGAGGCTCAGGGTCACAGTGGCTGCAGGCCGGCTGCTGCATGGGGAGGTCTGCTGGCCAAACCCGCCAGCCATCAGGCCTCCTCGCATGTCACCCCGGACAAGGCCGGGGTGCCAGGCGTGCCTGCTGCATGGGGAGGTCTGCTGGCCAAACCCGCCAGCCATCAGGCCTCCTCGCATGTCACCCAGCCAGCCCTGGTGGAGCCGCGCCTTTCCCCACCGGGCGCCACCTCCCAGCAGCAGCTGTGTCCACTTGGATGAGGATCTCGTGAGAAGAGTGAAGAGGGCCTCAGCCACCCCATAGATGTCTGAGCCACTTGAACAGGCATGCCCTGAGTTTAGAAATACAAATAGGACAATGTGTGCCCAGAACCGATGAAATAGTCATTTATTCATAGAACTGAGGCCTCAGATTCCATCCGCTTCCATCAGGACATGACCACAGAGCACTACGGCAGGTGGGGTGGCTCCCAGTGGTCCTTGAGCCAAGCCCCGTCCCAACCACCGGCTGGCCAGCTGGTGGCCTTAGGGAAGTACAGACCCTGGACCCTGCCTAGAACCTCTGGACATTCCCAGCCCACAGTTGAGAACACCTGCATTAATATATTTAATTAATTAAAATACAACTGATTTCTGTAGAGAAACACCAGAAAAATGGTTTCTCCTAACAGTATCAAAAAGTGTTTTTCACTAACTGGTCATTGCTTTTGATAGTATTTCTCAATCTGGGTTCGGAAGATTTCAAGGTTTTTGGTATCATCTAAGTGAAACTTTACTTTTTGAAATGATTAAATACTTTGATTTGGCAAATATTTTTGGGTCACCTATTAATTCAGAGCCCTATCCACAGGGGATGGGGACCCATTCGAGCCCACTCCCCACCATGAGACAGAGAACAGGCTCGAGGGACAGGGAGCAGCAAAGATAAAGGCCGTTCTGGACCACCCTGCACAGCCGCCTCTGACCCTCCTCCTGGCTCCAAGATGGTGCAGGACAGGAGAAAGCTCAGGACTCAGGGGCCAGGCAAGGCCAGAGGCCCTTCCCTACCCCAGATTTGTCCCTGCAACCTTGAACTTCATTTCTGGGTCTGTAAATAGGGCCTTGAGTCCTGACCCACAGGTGACAGGGGTCTGCCCAGGTCCTGGCACTGTCCATGGCACCTCCTGTGGCCCCGTAGGCTATGTACTGTTTCCTAACAACCGCCTGTCTCAGCCCCATCCTTCCAGCACGAGGCAGCAGTGACCTGGCAGGTGGGCCATGCAGAGAGAAGGGGGAACCCCGCCCGCCCAGCCTGGGGCAAATGTTCAGACAACACCTTAGTCTTAGAGCCTGTGGCTTGGAGAAGTGGGCAGGGGTGGCAGGCTGCACAGCGGTGAGCACCGAGGTGTGCAGAGCTAGGTGTCCTCAGCCCTGCAGGTCTGGGAGGGGCTCACCCACCTGGAGGCCTGAAATGTCCATCTTCTCCCGGACACTGAACTTCTGGCCCATGAGCCGCAGTTTGGGCACGCAGTAAAGGATCATGCTGTTGAACTGCAAGAGGGACGGGCACAGGTGAGGGGCAGGGGCTACTCAGCGGGCAACCCAGAGGCCCCAGTGAGCTTCTCACATGGGATGTTTTTGGAGTTTTTTGGTGGGGGATAGTGTCTCACTCTGTTGCCAGGGCTAGAGCGCAGTAGTTCAATCGTAGCTTACGGCAACTCACGCTCTTGGGCTCAGCCTGCCTCAGCCTCCCAAGTGGCTGTGACTACAGGCACATGCCACCCACCCAGCTAATTTTTTTTAAATTACTTTTTGTACAGAGAGGGTCTTACTTTGTTGCTCAGGCTAGTCTTGAACTCCTGGCCTCAAGGGATCCTCCTGCCTCAGGTTCCTAAAGTGCTGGGATTACAGGTGTAAGCCACTATGCCTGGCTGCACATGGGACCTTTTTAAGTTTCCCTTCAATGTTATAAAGTAAATGTGTGCATTATTTTACCTACGGTTACATCTCTGGGCAAGGAGACTACAGATACTAGCTTTATTTTTGTCTACATTTCTCTATTTTAAACCAAGACTTTAAATTTTTAAGTCTTTTTAAATTGTGTAATAAAAACCAAAACTTTTGAATGAACAATGAACATGGAAGAATCTCTCAAATGCACATGTCAAGCAAAAGAAGCCAGATTCATCTCGTGGCATTTATGTGGCATTCTGGAAAAGACATAATTATAGAAACACAGAACAGATCATTGGTCGCTGGGGCAGAGGTGGGGGCGGGGGGGGGCGCTTAACCACAAAGGGGCAGGACAAGGGAATTGGGCAGAGGGTGATTGAATTGTTCCGTAACTTCATCGTGGTTACGACTGCATTTGTCAAAACTTATCCATCATCTGCAGGATGTGGGAGACAGGACCCTCCACACATGGCCAGTCATGGCATTAGAACTGTACAGCAACAGTGAGTTTTACTCAAAGTAAATTTTAAAACCTTTTAAAAAACCTTTCAAAGAAATGATGGTTTAAATAAGAAGACCTAGAGGAAAATTGAAATGGGAAGAAGAATCATGTCTATTTCTACTACCTCGGGGCAGCCAGGGTGCATCTCTCTTTATACTTCCTTCCTGTCTTTTCCCCCACTCTAGGCGGGGCTTGGTTCTGGGGGAGTTGAAATCATGACGTCCTTCTATGGTTCTCTGTGCTGTCCTGGTTGTTACAAGCTGGAGTCTGCTCAACTCCAGCAGAGGCAGATCAGGGAGAACAGGGATGTTGGCTGAGAGGGATAAAAACAGGAGATGTTTGCAGCACATGGGCCAGAGCCGTGGCAAAGGCTTGCTGCCTGGATGTGGGGGAATGAGGCTCCATAGGGCTGGGAGGAGTGGGGGGGGGGTCACAGATGGTGCCAGCAGTCCCAGTAAGAGAGGCCACAGAAGAGCCACGTCCTTGGGCAACCAGAGCCCTGCCAGCACTGCCTGGGGCCATGGGGAGGCGGCAGGGGAGTCTCCGTGGCTGGACTGGCAGGGCTGGGCTCACCAGGAAGAGGTGGCGGTCCTGGGTGGTGCCATTCTTGGCCGACAGCTTCTGGATATGACCCTCCTTGATCAGCTCATTGGCCGGGTTGACAATGTCCTCCTCCCCACCCAGCTGCTCGTACACCTCCAAGAGCTTGTGCATTTTCTCCTGCAAGAGACACAAGGCTCAGGCAGATACAAGGCATGTGGGGGCTGCTGGGGACTCAGAGGCACTGAGCCCTGTCCTGCCACATGATGCAGATAGGACAGTGAGCCTCCCGACAACAGATGGGGATGGAAAACACAGGGTGATGTTCCGGTTGGGTATTGAAGGATGAATAGAAGTTCACCATGCAGGGAATAACAACAACAATAATAAATAACAACAGCAGCTAACCTCATTGCTGAGCCAGGTGCTGGTCTACACGTGACACATGCTTTAACTCACTCAATTCTGACACCGACCCTATGAGGTGGGTGCCGTTAATATCTCCACTTTAAAGACAAGGAAACTGAGGCATGGAAAAGTTGTGTGGCCATGACCCAGACTTGGCCAATCACCTTCCCCTGGCCATGGTGACTAGTGGGTGGTCACATGGTTGACCAGCAGCCTGAGATGCAAAGGGACAGGGTCACAGCTTGTGGCCCCAGCTTTGAGCTGGAAGCCAATGCAGCAGAAGGCAGAGCCAAGCCCGCAGGAACCTCAACCACACAACATGGTCTGAGTCTGGACCTGCTGTGCCCCAGTAGCCCCTGACCTTGGACGTGGGTGATCTCAGCCTGCACGCCCTCAGCAGGCTGCTTCACTGGCCTTTCTGCCTCTGTTAAGACACAGGTGGGTGCAGGAGGGCCATACGGCGCAGCACAGAGAGCAGGGGCACGAGAGCAGCCAGCAGTGGAGAGCTCAGAGGGGCAGACTGGGACCGGGCTGAGGGCCTTGCGGGAATCCGGGAGAGCGGGCAGGTCCCTGGTATGCACACGGGGGAGCTGGGCGTGCACCTGCCTTCTACTAGGGGGTGCGTGTACCAGTGGAGTTTGCATGCGCCCGGCATGTAGGGGGGCCGTGCTGCGCATGCACCTAGGGGGCTGGGTGTGTACCTGTCACGTGCTGGGGGGTTAGGTATGCACAGAGCCAGCCCACAAAAGGGACAATTACAGCTTCAGCGAATGAATGAATGAATGACAACAACTCTGATCACTGATGCTCACTGAGCCAGGTCCTACCCTGAGCACTTTATGTAGAGTGATTCTTTTAATTCCCACAACAGCCCAGTGAGACCGGTCCTGTTGGTGCCTTTGTTTCACAGAAGAGGAAACTAAGGCACAGAGTGCTAAATAACTCACCCAGGATCACAGGGCTAGCAAGGGCCAGGCCACCCAGACCAAGACAGCCCACTGTCCCCTGGCTCGGTGGGGATGGGGGGCGTGCATGTGCACGAGGGAGTGTGCATGCGTGTGAGTGAAGGTGCCCACTCAGGGAGGCCCTGGGGCACAGGGGTGGCGGTGCTCGTGGGGGGGCCTGCTGCCTGGCTGTCCCGGCACCCACGCTGTCCCCTTCCCGCCTGCACTGCCACTTTCCGAGGAAGGCCGCGTTGGAGTGGTTGGCGGCAGTGGAGATGAGCTCCAGGACCCTGCCGGCAAGATTCAGGGTTAGCTTGGGGCCACGGGGGTCCACGCTTTCTCCGAGCAGCTACCTGCATCTCTGGGGCAGCTGCTGCTAGGGAGAGGTTCTGTCCCTGGCTCTGGCCTGCCCACGTGCCGGGCTGGTGCCAGAGCCTGGGCCTGGGGCCCGGGCTGTGAGCTGTGGACCTGCAACAGGCCTCTTTGGCTGGGGCCAGCAGCAGACGGCCCCCACGCTTCCCACACGGACCCCTGCCCTGTGCTGCCTGCCGGCCACACTGGCCACAGCCCTGGCCCAGGGCTCGCCAGCCCATGAGGCCACGTCCTGGGCTGAGCTCTGGAGGGCCCGCAGCCAGCAGCGCCTCATCAGACCAATGTCCGCCCTCCACGCTGCAAGGAGGAGAGATTTTTCTCTGCCTCAAGACACAAGTCACTTCCTGAAAAGCTGTTTTTAGGGGTGCCGTTCTCTTGTCCCTCTTTTCTCTTTTCTTCTCATATACACTCTCTGCATCTCTGTTCCCCTTTCCCTTTCTGGTCTCCGCTTTCCCTTATCTCTCTCTCCCCCTTCTGTGTCTCTGTCTCTCCCCTGTCCCCTCTCGTTGCTATCTCTGGATGTATCCCTCCAACCCCTCTGTCTCTTCTGTCTCCCCCTCCTGCTCCTGACTCCAGCCTCAGCAGGTCCCCTGCTCCCACAGGAGCCTCGGCCTGCAGCCTCTCAACTCGACGCTCCGCATCCTTCCGGTCTGGGGCGTCCCCCGAGCCTCCCTTCAGATATCTTCAGCAGCAGCTCGTACCGGGGGACCTCTGCACGGGCTCACGCTGTGGTGCTGCAGCGTGAGGTTCCCGCACACGTCCTCCTGCTGAGGGGACAGAGGGCAGCGTGTGGACACCAGCCCAGGAGCTGAGACGCGGCCGGCACAGACCACACTTGACAGCTGGAGAACCGAGGCCAGAGATGGCTCGGGCGCGGAGGGCGGCCCCAGGTGGCTGGCTCCTGGATCCAGAGCCGCGCTCTTCTGTCACACCTCACTGGAGACAGCCAAGTGCCAGGCCAGCCGCCCCTGCCAGTGCTTTCTCCCACTCACATCCACGTGGGCCTGAGGCGCCTTCCACCCCTGCCTAGAAATCAAGCAAAGCTTGACCGGAATGGGGTCGGTGTCTCTCACGCTAGAAGCCACCTTGACAGTTCTGCCCACTCTCCTCGTCTAAACACGCGTGAGGGTTTGGGTGGCACAGGACCCTCACGGCCTGCCCCTGCCCAGCACTGTCCGCGCCCGCAGCTCCGCCAGCCCTGCAGCTCTCCTCGCTGCTGCCAGGAGATGCAGACCCTCCCTCCAGCACGGAGCCTTAGACCACCGTGCCGATGCTGTCCTCAGTCACCTCTGTGCTCCCCACTCGGGCCCTCCTGCCCTGCGTTCGTCTCCCCTCCCCGAAACGCCCACCAGGCAGTGCCTCTGGCTGGGAGGGCTGCTGCCTGTCGCCGTCCACCTGCGTCCCCACCCACGGCCAGTACTCGAGAGCCTCAGTCACTCTCACGCGGCTCTGGGCCCAGAGCAGAACAGCTGTCAGCTAGGATAGCTCAAAGGTGCCTTGGATACAAACAGTGAGGAGAACCCTAGTTGCAACCTTGCTAAAAACAATTGTTGCAATTGTGAGATCTCAAGGCTGGTGAGGAAGGGGATATTTACACAGTCTCAAAGTGTCTGCCTACAGGAACTTCTCAACAGGGGAGAAACCTAACTGCGCCTGGGGAGTCCTGGCAGACACACCTTAATCCAGTGAACACCCCCAGAAAGGGGTCAGGCAAGGATCGCGGCCCCCAGGCAGAGCTCTGACAGGGACACGGCCTCACTCCGGTGAAAAGGCACAGCCTGAATCCAACGTGAACAAATGACAGGCTGCAGGCAGGCCTATACCCCTCAGGAAGACAAGCACAGAGAGGCCTGTTCTAGACAGGAGGCGAATGCAATAATGAACGCAACGTGTGGCCCTGGGTTGGGTTATGGACCAGAAAAAAAGGAAAAGAAAAAAAAGAACATTACTGGGACAAGTGACATTTGAGTGTGGGCTGTGGAGTAGACAGTACTGTGACATCAGTGTAAAATTCCCTGATTTTGGTCACTGCTCTGTGGTCATAAAGGAGAATTGCCTGTGCACATTCAGTGATAAAGGGCTGCAGGGCCTGGAACCTAGTCTCGAGAGGCTCAAAAATAATAATCATGTGTGTGTTTAGTGAGAAAGATAAAGAAGACAAAATATTAACAGGTTTCCATTTTTGCAACTTTTCTGTAAACATCTCTAATTATTTCAAAATAAAAGTTTAAATAACTTAAAATATACTTTGGAGTGAACAAATGAAACCTCCAAAGGCCACAGGAACCTTGGCTGTCACGAGATCCCATTTTTTTCCACGCCAGGGCCGGCCAGGGCTTCTCAGCCTCGGCACTGTGTACATCTGGGTGGGACGGTTTTCTGTGGCAGCGCCCTGTCCTGCACTGTGGCTGCCACAGCATCCGGCCCTCCTCGGAGCAGGTGCCAGGAGCACCACCAACATCCGTAGACCCAGCCCAGGTCCCCGAGGGCGAAGTCTTCTGTGGAGAGTGGCTTCACCTGGGGTGGACAGTCCTCCCCACAGCCTGCCCAGCCCAGCGCCTGAGATCTGCCCAGGACGAGGGAAGGCAATGACTGGCAGCTGGCTGGTGACCAGGGACCGTGGCTGTCCACAAGTATCCCTGGGCAGACGGCGCCCAGGACAAGGCAGTGCCGGCCCGGCTGCTGCAGACGGCTGTCCGTCCTCCCAGTACAGAAAGCGTCTAGCCACCGAGGGCTGGCCGGACCCACAAACCTGGTTTGCCAGGTGTGCATGGGGCGCAGCCTGTGCCTGTTTCGCCGCACCTGGGAGAAACTCATTCGCTCACAGGTCCCTCTACACCTCGTGGCTGTCTGAGGATTTTGGGGCACCTACAGTTTTGCAGCACCTACAGACCCACAGTGCAAGGACAAACCCAGAGCAGGGCTCCTCCCCCTTCATACTGAAGCCTAGAGGGGCGTCTCGGCTCAATTGGCAACCTGAGAAGAAAACCAAATTCATCCTGATTTTGTCTTTTTCTTCTGTTCTTCCTCAAAATAACAAAATCAGATACTAATTGGCCAGTGCAAATTTAGACAGATTCCAACTTCCTCGATTGTGTCTTTGAGGATAATGATGATGATGATGACAATGAGGAAGGAGGAGGAGGAGGGGTGGGGGAAGAGATGAAAAGAAAAATAGCAAGCTTAGCATCAGGACTAGGAAGGACCCCAGGGCCCCATGGAGCGCGGTCAGGGAGGCACTGGAGGCACCAGCCATGGTCCCAGTGATAACTGACAGTGCTGGCTTAAGAGCAGCTGCAAACCGGGCGTGGACGGTTAATAAGACCGCATGGGAACACACTTCCTAGAAAAGGAAACTATGTCCTAGAAAGCAGGACTTTGTTCTCGTCCCCTCTGTGGGACTGCAGAGCCACAGCACCTGCCCGGCCTAAGCACCCGTCGTGTTCAACTGGTCCCTGTCTGCCCCATAGGCCTGGCTGTCCCCCCAGCTGGGGACGATCAGACCCTGGCCCCACAGAGGCAGGCAGCACAGGTTGCAGGGCTGCTGGGTCAGCAGAAATGGGGCTTGGGGGGGTCGGAAGTAACTGTCGGTGGGGACAGCTGGGGTGAGAGCCGCTTGGAGGGCCTGAGGTATGAGAGGGGCGTGGGCATGGGGACACATGGGGAGAAGGAAGGGCCCTGTGTGGGGACAGGGCTCTCCTCTCTAAGACCTGACGCTGATCCTGAGATGGGGACATTTGAAGGATTCAAAGGACCTAGGACTCTGCACTAGGAAACTGTGGGTAACCTGGTGGCAGTGGGGTCTGGGGAAAATCAGAAAGTTTCGAGGGGCCACCCCAAATCCAGGAGCACCACGGAGAATGCTCAGGGCCCATGAGCCTTCCAGGGTAAGTGGGGCAGGGGACGTGTGCGCGTGCACAAGTGTGTGAGAGTGTGCGTGTGCACACGCGTGTGCCTGTGCGTGGGGGGGCACTGGTGACGTTGGGACAAGCAGCTGACTATAAAACTAGATTCTCACCACGTACCACAATCTACCTGGAAACTATGCTGGGATAGCTCTTTACATTTTTAAAATGAAGCCATAAAGTTAGGGAAAAAAAACATAATTTATATAAACTTGGGTAGTGGGAAATGCATTTATAAAAAAGTAAATGTAGTTAAACAAAAATTCTGTATGGCAAATATCACTACAAGGTTAAAAAATAAAAGGTCAAAAGAAACTGCAACATGCAAGACAAAACAGCTGATGTTCTTAACATATGAAAACCTTGTGAATCAATAAGAAAAAGACCAGCCTTGCAGGAGACAAGAGCAGCAAGGGCTGTGAAAAAGAAAAAGAAAAAGAAAAAGAAAAAGAAAAAGAAAAAGAAAAAGAAAAGATCAATGTGACATTTTTAAAGTGCCTGCGCTAGATATCGAGGGTCACTGTGGAATCCTAGACTGTCCTTTCAGTCCAGGTTCTATCAAGTAATTATTCATGATGATGTAGGTTGTATAACTTCTTGAGCCACAATTTTCTCACCAACGAAATGGGAATGATGATTTGTCTCTGAGAGTTTTCGTAAGGATTGAAACATCAATAGAGTATCTGGACACATCTCGTAATTTTACTGATTTTCTCTGTGTTCCAAAATTTCAATAATGTCATATGTTATTAATACTTTTTGGAGTAAAAAAAATTATGTTTTAAAAATAACACACCCAGCTTTGTGCCACTTGAGGAAGCCTGCACCCACAGGCCTGCAGCCCACCCTACCTGGATGCCGTGGACAATGTCTTTAAACAGTGGGGAGCGCTGGGTCCAAGTGCTCACCAGCCCCACGGCCCGGTCGAAGTTCTTGACATACTCGCCGTACATCTTCAGGAATGGGGCCAGCTTCTGCAGGATGTCCCCTACCCGGGGGTTCCTGTCCCTTTGTGGAGGAGTGAAATCATCAGAGAAATAGTCCAGGTGGGACAAAGGTGTGAGGTTAGTGGACATGAATTTTCCCAGGGGGGGCAGGGTGACGGCTGGAGGCAAGGCCTGACTCCCAGCTCTGTGTGATGCTGAGCAAACTGGTCACCCTCTCTGAGCCTTAGTATTCTTCCCTATATCATGTGGGTTAGAAAACAGTATGTCACTGAGAGGATGCCTATAATACACTTCACCAGTACAGGGTTAGAGCCAGTGCCCCCAATACAGGAGGTCTTAGAAGTAGGACCACTCCAGTGATGGGCCACAGTTCTCAAAGAGGATCAATGAAATACTATTTTACTCCCTTGCAGTGAGCAAAGTTTAGAAACCATGAGTCTGTGCATTGCTGGCAAAGTCATGGGGAAAGTAGCACTTTGCAGTACTGATAATAAAATCTAACTATTGCTTTGGACAGGAATTTACAAATTAGTTTCAAGAAGCAGAAAAATATACTGATAGACTTTCAACCAGGAAGGAGTGTGGTCAGGATTGGACCCAGGACCATAGGGAAGGGAGGCATGCAGGCCACCATGAGACAGTCCCCCCAGTGCCTGCCTGGCTTTCAGGTGTCACCCCCAGGTGTCCATGGACGGTACTCACCACTCCTCTGTGATCCGAGTCTGCAGCTCAGGCAGCAGGAACTGCCCATGGAAACGGTGGATGGAGGAGATGTTGGAGAAGATGCCCGTGGTGACTTCCGGAGGGATCCCTGCTTCAGTCAGCCGGGTGCAGAAAACCTAGGCGTGGAGAAGCACACGCAATGGCCACTGAACGTCATCCACCACAGACAGTCATGATCGGGCATCAGCCACAGACAGGACACTCAGGAGGGGCTGCCACCACCTGTGTTTTCTTAGTGAACTTCAGAGTCCTTTTCCTCCCTTTCCGTCAAACTGGTTTAAACAACTCATGGTCTTAACGCAAGCTTACTTATGGGTAAGGACTGTGGGTGAGGCAGGGACCATCCCCTGAGGGGTATATATACATCTTTCCTCAGCCACTTCGCATGGGAAATGGAAGGTCCAGGTTTCCTTCTCTGGCTTGTGAAACACAAACATACACAGCACACTCTGTCAAAACCCTGGTCCACTGGTGCTTTATTTCCTGTGTTCATAAGCCGGTGTTGCCACAGGGACAGGGAAAAGCAGTGCCCACTGTCCCAACTATTTATGCAGAAAAGTGTCCAGGACCCATTTGTGTTCTCAGATAATGCAACTGCCAAGAAGAAATGTCCCAAAGGTTACTGGACAAACCCTTTGCCCCAGAGCCATAAGCACTGAAAGCAAAAAAATATTTCTAGACTAGACTTAAATTTGTCTGAGTTTTAGCATTTAAGTAATTCATACTCCAATTGTAATGCCCAATCAATGCTGACAGATAGAAAGTTTGCCTTTGAAACTTCCCGCTGAAACTCTGAAAGGGACAAAGGAGGCCCCCGAGCCGCATGCGCTACCTGGTCCAGCAGGTGCAGCCGCTTCACGTAGGTCTCCTCGGTGTGCAGGAGCTCCTGGGCAATGTGGAGCAGCTTCTGGGGGTCAGAGCGCTGTGGAGAGAGGACACTCGGCTCACCTGGGGAGCCAGCCCTGGGGGGCAGCACCTAACAATGGCTGCTGCTGTGCCCTGGGGTAACCAGGCCCATGAGGCCGCTGGGACTGGGGTGTGGCACCCAGTTCACACGGATGGTATTTCCGGGGAGGTTTTTGGAAGAGCCACAGTTTCTGCCAATCCCCCAAAAGCCTCTCCATCCCTGAGGTGACTCTACCTTCCTGAGGCTGTGACTAGGGCAGCTGCAGCAAGCGCATCAAAACATAGCGCAGAGCAATGTCAGCAAGATGGTGGGCTAGAAAGCTACAGAGAAACAGAGAAACAGCCCAGTCGAAGGAACAAAATAACAACTACAAAACCAACCCAAAGAAACACGGATCTATGAGCTGCTTGAGAAAAGCCTAAATAGCTATCATAAAGATGCTCAATGACCTAAAAGAGGACACAGACAACGAAAAAATAAAGCCAGGAATTGATGCAGGAACAAAATGAGAGTATCAACAAAGAGATAGAAACTATACAAAAGGATAAAAGAGACATTCTGGAGTTAAGATATACCGTAACTGAATTGAGAAATTCATAAGAGGGGTTCCATAGCAGACTCAACCAGGTAAAAGAATCAGCAAGCTTAAAGAGAGGAAATTTGAAATCATAGAGTCAGAGAAGTAAAAACAAAAAAGAATGAAGAAAAGCAAAGAGAGCCTAAGGGACTGAAGAGGCACCATCAAATATTATATATATATATTCCAAAGGAGAAGAGACAGAAAGGGGCAGGGACTTTATTTAAAGAAATAATGAGGCCAGCCACGGTGGTTCACATCTGTAATCCTAGCATTCTGGGAGGCTGAGGTTGGAGGATTGCTTGAGCTTGAGTTCAAGACTGGCCTGAGCAAGAGTGAGACCCCATTGCTACTAAAAATACAAGAATTAGCTGCATGGTGAAGGGTGCCTGTAGCCCCAGCTACTCAGGAGGGCTGGAGGCAGGAGATCGGCTGGAGCCCAAGGTTTGAAGATTGAATAAGCTAGGATACATATAAACTGATACCACTGCCACCAAGCTGGCGGTGAACAGACAAGACTTCTTCTCCAAAAGAGAAAAGAAAGAAAAGAAAAGAAATAATGGCTGAAAATCTACAAAATCTGAAGAAAGCAATAGACATAAAAATTCAGGAAGTTCAAAGAACTCCCACAAGGATAATCAAGAGGAATCCACACTAATAATTATAATCATAACTGTTCTAATGTCAGACAGAAAAATCTTTAAAAGCAGCAAGAGAAAAGCAATTTGTCTCCTGCAAGGGGCTTCCATAGGGTATCAGAGGATTTCCCAGCAGCAACTTTGCAGGCCAGAAGGGAGTAGGATGATATATTCCAAGTGCTAAAGGAACAAAAACAAAAAACCCCTGTCAACCAAGAACATTGTCTCCAGCAAAACTGTCCTTCAAAAATGAAGGAGAAATTAAGACTTTCCAGATAAATAAAAGCTAAGAGGAGTTCATTACCATTAGACCTGCTCTAAAAATAATGATAAAATGGAGTCCTTCAAATTGAACCAAAAGGATGATAAATGGCAACACAAAGCCACATGATAATTTAAGGTTCTCCAGTAAAGGTTAATATATAGACAAATAAAATAATCTGTACTATTGGTAATCTTGTCTATGAATTTATTAACAACATTTAAAAACTTTATGTTAATTGGTATACCATATATAAAGGTGAATTTGTGACATCAGTAATAGGAGGGGGAGGTGGAGCTGTAAAGGAGTAGAGGTTTTCTATGGGATTCAAGTTATTAGCCAATGCTATAACTTAAAGATGTTTTACATAATTGCAACGGTAAACACAAATAAAATAAGTATAGAATATGGAGGCTAGGCACAGTGGCTCGTGCCTATAATCTCAGCACTTTAGGAGGCTGAGGCAGGAGGATCACTTGGGGCCAGGAGTTTGAGATCAGCCTGAGCAACATAGCAAGACACCATCTCTACAAAATATGAAGAAAATTAGTCAGGCATGATGGGATACACCTATAGTCCCAGCTACTTGGGAGACTGAGGCAGAAGGATCACTTGAGCCAGGAGTTTGAGGTTGCAGTGAGCTATTATCATGCCACTGCACTCCAGCCTGGGTGACAGAGCAAGACCCTATCTCAAAAAAATAAATTTAAAAAGAGAAACGAACATGAAGAGGAATCAAAGCATATCACTATAAAAAATCAATGAAATACAAAGGAAGGCAGTAAGAGAGTAAAGGAAAGACAGAAAAAGCTATAAGACATACAAAAAACAATAAATAAATGGCCATAGTTAGTCTTTTCCTATCATTAATTACTTTCGCTGTAAATGGTTAAACTCCCCAATCAAAAGACAGACTGACTAAATGGATTGAAACAGTAGCATCTAACTCTATGATATTCACAAGAAACTCACTTTAGTTATAAGGATACATAAGGTGAAAGTAAAGAATAGAACAGATATTCTATTGAATGTAACCTAAACAAAAGAAGAATGGTCCTATTTATATCAGACAAAATAGACTTTAAATCAAAAACTGTTATATGAAGCAAAGAAGGACATCATATAATGATACAATGGTCAATTCACCAAGAAGATACAATGAGTATAAATATCTAGGCGCCAAACCTCAGAGCTCCTAAATATATAAAACAAACTTTGACAGAATTGAAGGGAGAAAGAGAGAGCAACAAAATAATAGTAGGAGATTTCATAGCCCATTGTTAATAATGGATAGAACCAGACATAAGGTCAATAAGGAAATAGAGGGCTTGGACAGTACTATAGACAATTTGACCTGACAGACAAACACAGATCACTCCACCCAATAACCACACAAGACACACTCCTCCCGAGTACACCTAGAACATTCTTTAGGACAGACCTCAGGTTAAGGCAAAGAAAATTCTTAACAAATTCAAAAAGACAAATCATACAAAGTAACTTTTCCAGTTCCAATGGAATGAAACTAGAAATTAATAACACAATGTAAACCCACAGACATGTGCAAATTAATCACACTTGAATAGCCAAAGGGTAAAAGAAGTCACAAGGAGAATTAGAAAATACAGTGAGACTAAATGAAATCACAACATACTTACAGGATGCAGTGGAAGAAGTGCTAGGAGGGAAGTTTATAGCTATAAAAGAAGCAAAAAGTAAACAAAAGAAGCAAAACTGACACAATTCATTGCCAGGAGGCCTACACTGAAAAGCTAAAGGGAGTTCTACTGGCAAAAGTAAAATGATCTCATTTGAAAACAAGGAAATTCAGGAGGGAATGAAGACTACTGAATGGGTAAATATATGAGTAACTGTAAATGACAACTGGTTGCTATTTTGACTGATTGTATAAATATGTACATTAAAAAAAGAAAAAAGAGCTTGAATCAACAACCTAACTCTACACATCAAGAAACTCAAAAAAGAACAAACTAAACCCAAAGCTAGAAGAAGGAAGGAAATAATAAAGATCAGAACAGAGATAAATAAAAGAAACTAGAAAAACAATAGGAAAAAAACCCCTAACAGTTGGTTTTTTTTAAAAGATCAACAAAATCGACAAAACTTTAGCTAGATTAACTAGGGAAAAGAGAGCAACCACTGAAATATCAGAAATGAAAGAGGGGACATTGCAATTGATGCCACAGGAATAAAAAGATTATAAGAGAATACTATGAGCGATTCTATGCCAACACATCAAATAACCTAGAAGAAATGGAAAAAAATTTCTAGAAACAACCTATGAAGACTGAATCATGAAGAAATAAAAAATCTGAAAAACATCAATAATGAGTGAGATTGGATTAGTAATCACAAACCTTCCAACAAAGAAAAGTCTGGAACCAGATGACTTCACTGATGAATTCTGCCAAACATTAAAGAATTAACACCAATTATCTTGAAATTCTCCCAAAAAAATCGAAGAATAGGGAACGCTTCCAAGCTCATTCAATGAGGCCAGCATTAATTATCCTGATAGCAAAGCCATATAGACACTACAAGAAAAACAAAACCAAAAAGAAAAAAAACAAAAAACAAAACAACACTACAGGCCAATATCCTTGATGAATATTGATGCATAAGTCCTCAACAAATTACTAGAAAATCAAATTCGACAGCATATTAAAGAGATTATACACCACGACCAAGTTTATTGCTGGAATATAACCATGGTTCAACATACAAAACTCACTTAATATATTAATAATACATCACATTAACAGAACGAAGGACAAAAACCACATGATCATCTCAACTGATGCAGAAAAAGCATTTGACAAGCTTCAACACCCTTTCACAATAAAAACACTCCACAAACTAGGAATAGAATAAAACTACCTCAATGTAATAAAGGCCTTATGACAAGCCCATAGCTAACATCATATTAAATGGCGAAAGACTGAAAGCTTTTCCTTTAAGGTTAGAAACAAGGTAAGGAAAAAACCCTTAAGAGTTGGTTTTTTGAAAAGATCAAGAAAATCGACAAAACTTTAGCTAGATTAACTAGGGAAAGAGAGTGACCACTCAAATAACTAAAATCAGAAATGAAAGAGGGGACACTGCAATCGAAGCCACAGGAAGAAGTCACCACCCCCTCTCCGTGTAGTGCTGGAAGTCCTAGACAGAGCATTCAGGCAAGAAGAAAAAACAAAGGCATCCAAGTCGGAAAGGTAGAAGTAAAATTAACTCTGTTCACAGATGACATGATTTTATATGTAGAAAATTCTAAAGATTCTATTAAAAAATTGTTAGGACTAATGAACCAATTCAGCAAAGTCACACGATACAAAAGGAACCCACAAAACTCAGTTGGGCCTGGGGACACAGAGTCAGATCCCGACAGTCCTGCATAGTGACTTGGGAACACGGTGGCCCCGTGCCTCGGCTTCCCCATCTCTAGGACGGGGCTAACGGCGGCACCTTCTTGAAAGCACAGATGTGAGGTTGGATGACGATCTGCTGGGGGGCCTCGGCCTCCCCGCACAGCCTCCTGTGTTAGTGTTTTTAGCAGACTCGCACGTTCAAGCTAAAGCTTGGAGAAAGGGAAAGGAACGGGAAAGAACGGTGAGCTGGCAAGGGGGCCTTGCTAACTTCTGGGGTGCCGTTCCTTTCTGGGTGCTGTTCCTTTCTGGCTTGGCCTCTGCCGCCTGTCTCTGGCCCCTTGCACGTGTTTGCTGAGCTGCCTCCTCAGTCTCAGCCAGCCCAAGCCTGTGTCCTGGAGCTGGCTCTGCCACCGCACAGAGCCACATCTTCCCTGGCCAGGGGTCAGTGTCGTCCGCCCCCACCAATAGTTTTCATGCCAGATTCTCCTGCAGCTCCGATAAATGACCCCTCCTCAAACCTATTTGTGGACAAATGGTTTTGTCATTTTTTCGATCTGCGCTTTCAGCTTATTGGACACTCTGGGGTCGGCTTGCTCATTCGCTCACGGCGGATTCGGTGCTGAGCCCTGACTGCTCAGCTGTGGGGAGAGGCCGGGCTTCCCCAGCAGGGAGCCGGGGGCAGCGAGACGGGGCAGCACCCACGGGCGGCCTCTCCCGGGCGGCTGTTCCCGCAGGCACAGACGCAGGTCCCCGGCAAAGAAGGGGTGAGGCCGCCCAGGTGGAGGGGGCCCGCCTGGGGCTGGGGGCAGGACAGGGCTGGGACCTCCGGGTGGGGCCGCAGTGTCCAGGACTGGAGGAGAGCGAAGGTCTTTGATGGCAGCGTGGGGTGGGCGTGCTGCCAGGAGGGCTGTGGGTGCAGAGGCAGGGCAGTCATGAGGGCTGAGGGGTCCCGCCACACAGCTGGGAGACGCCGAGCTCTGGAGAGCAGAGCGGGGTGCCCAGAGTGCAAGTTCACAGGAGCGGGCCTGGGGGGAACCAGGGAGAAGGTGACAGGTTCAGCCTGAAATACCTTGATCCGGGCCACATAGTTCAGTCCCTCTGTGCCTCAATTTCTCTATTTGTAAAAGAGACCCTGCTCCCAGGCCTCCCATGCACAACCTTGAAAGGGCACACAAACTAGCAGTGTCCTCAACGCTCCCCACACCTCACCCCACCATGTACCAAGGATAGAAATTCAAGGAACTAAACGTCTTTGTCTAAATGAGCCTTAATTATTTTACTTGACTGTGAAAGACACCCCCTTTATAAACATAAAGGCCATGGCAGGGTAGGTGGAGACCCTGCCTAGGAGAGAGCGCCTCTCTGGGAAGGGGCCCAAACTCCCACTGGTCCAGGGGCACTGGCCTAGCCCCCCATCCCCCATGTGGCCTCAGCCCCAGGGCCCCACGTCCTCGTGTGAGTGGCAGCTCCGTGTCTAACCCAGGAAACACCATGTGGCCCCTGAGGGCTGGACCGTTTAGGGCCCAAGAAATGTGCTGCTGAAATATGTCCTTAATCTTTCCTTAATGCCTTTCCTTTATAATTTTTCAGCTTTCTTCTAGCTAATTCCTCACATGCGGAGCCCAGCTCGCCAATCTGATGTGTGTGTGCACCTGCGTCACTGCCCCCCATGTCAGGACCCCTTATTCTATCTTGGGATGGAGGGAGATGAGGCACAGGGTCCCAAGGCTCCTGGCCCAGTGCCTTGCACCAAGGACAGGCCAGCATGTGGTGGGCAGTGTTCTGCCCAGGCACCCCAAGAAAGAGAAGACTAACGCACTCCCGTCAGTGACGGACGCATCAGAGTCCCCCTATTACAGACACAAAGACTTGGGCCTCCCCCAGCCAAGCCTCTGACTCCAGGCACACCCAGGACCTGGATCGCCAGGCCTAGGGGTCGGCACCGTCCCCAGCGCCCGGAGGCTGAGGCAGCCAGCTCAGTCCTGGTTGGAGCACAACTCAAGAGCCTCGGAGGGTGTGGTCACTATTAACAAGGTCTTTTATTTTCTGTGCTCTGACGCTCTGACACCTGGGCCTTGCTGATGCTGGAGGGCCTGCCGCTCCCAGGACTGGCCAATTCCCAGAGACAATCAAGGACTCACCTGTGCTCACACCTTCCAAATGCAAAGCAGCCAACCCAGAGCCCACTCCGCCCAGCTCCTCTGTGGGGCTCTCACACTCTGGGCCCCTGTCCACCTGCCCTCGTCACCCCAGGGCAGGTACCAAACAACTAGGGACAGCTCGTGCCCAGAGCCACTGAAATGATTCAAACTAGCCAATCCTAAGCCTGTTGGCCCTGCCGCACCTGTTCGTTCCCATGGAAACCACAACAAAGGCTCAGGTCCATGTTTTCCCCTCGCTCTCTCTGCCTCATGACCGACTGCAGTCCTTCCTGTGTGGCCTCCCATGACATGGTGTCCCCCGTCCTCTTGGGAACCATGAGTAGCAAATGTCTTTTCAACAGCAGTCATCTCCTGATCTGTTGGCCTTACTATATCCGAGTAATAATAATATATAAAACATGGCCCAGCCTTCTCTCCTTGAAACTGGTTCACAGTGGCCCAGGCATGGGGCTGCCCTCACCTGCCCAGCCTACCTTCTGATGCCTACCACCTCAGCCAATAATGTCATCACCCAGGAGCCAGCAGGTTTGACCCGTCAAATACTCTTGGGACCTGGTCATTCGGCAGTTTACCCATATTGTGCCCCCATGCACACGTGGTTTCTCTAATCCTGGGGAAATCTACTGCATTTCCATCTCCCCCTTTATCCCGGAGCCCAGTAAAGGCTAAAGAGAATGCACACAAACTTTCTCTCCAGGCAGACCCACCAGGCCACAGGCACCTGCTATCGGGAATGCTCTGCTCTGGCCTCCACGCCATGGTGTGGGCCTCCCAGGTCCTGCCCACATCCCAAGGACCACAAAGCACCAGAACTGTGCCACACACTGTGGGTGACCCTGGGCAGGGACCATACTCTCTGTGCCTCAGTTTCCCCATTTGGAAGAGCCATTTTCCCCATTCATGCTGACTTCCTCCTAGAACTTCTGCAAGATTTGGAGTGAGCACTCTGTGAAGGGTGGCTGTGGGCAGTACCACCAGTAAGATGGGCCATCATGCCTTCCTGGGGTAGGGGATGTGCCCACCACACAGACATGGAAACTGAGGCTCAGGATGGAGGTCATTTCCCAAGGCGTCAGGTGGGCCTAGCCTGGGGTGCATGAGTCCTTATCATGGGTTTTTCCCAGAGACCCCATCCCTGGAGCCTCCCCTTGCATGGCCTGAGCCTGTGCACCTCATTCCTGAGAACAAGGTGTGGGGTGATGCCCACAGCAAACCTCAACTCCCCACCCCCAAGGACAGCCCTGCAGCCTCTGCCTGGGACAGAGAAGGGGAGGCCTACCTGGGCCAGGCTGGCATCCTTGTCAGCCCTCAGGGGAGAGTTTTCAGGGTTGGCCTCCTCCTGGGGGGTGCCCTGTGGGACCTGGCTGTGCAGGGCTATCTCAGGGTGCAGCCCCAGCACTCCGGGGCCTGAGCCGGCCTCGCCAGCCTCCTCGCAGGAGAAGTTCTCCCCGGCCACGCTGGAGGAGGGGCTGTCGATTCCGCTGTCCCGGTTAGGGATCTTCGTGCCACTGCTCAGCTCCCCCGCAGAGCCGGTGTCTAGGGAGCCACCCCCTGCTGCAGCCGGGCTACGAGGGTCCCTGCAATGGGCCCGGGGCCCGATGGGGAGCCCTCGGAGTTTCCCCAGGGAGGTGCTGTCAGGCCCAGTGTCCGGCATCCCCAGGGCAGTGATGGGTCCTGGAAGAGGCGAGGGTGTCTCGTCTGACTCCATCCTCAAAGCCAAGCTCACAGGCTCCGTCGGAGTTGGACCAGGACTCCCTGTGGGGCAGAAACGAGCCTGGATCAATGCCGGCCAGGCATGGACCGGTCCCCTCAAGCTGCAGCCCCCCAAAATGCAGCCCCCAGGCAGCGCCCCCCAAAATGCAGCCCCCAGGCAGCACCCCCCCCAGGAGAAAATCAGCCCAGCGGAGGCAGCTGGGGTCTGCGTGTGAAATGTGAACACCCTGGTCAGGCTGTCCAGACAGGCTTTTGGGGAATGGCAAATGGCAAATGTTTTATGTTAAAATTACGTTTCTTCTATATGGAAAAAAGTAATGCTGTAGCATGAAGCCGTCTACTGTTCAAAAATTCAAAATACATGTACGAAACAGTGACAGTAATCAACAGGAGCACCGCAGCTGTTTGTAGAGCACCTTCATATCCACGGTGCTGCTGCACCCTAAGACGCTCCCAGGAGATGGGCCAGTGGCCCTCTCACCACCGCCTCCTGTGCACATCATACTGCCTGTCGGACAAGTGGGAAGACAGCTCCAGAGGCCCCGGCCCTGGCTGTCCCATCATCTCCCCAGGTGGGGCAGGAGGCAGGTCTCGCCCAAGGACGCCCACCAAGATCTTTGTCCTGGAACTCCTCGTCCCTCCCGAGCACTGGGGCCACCTCATGTTTGCCCACATGCCTCTCCTGGAACCCTCAAGGGGAAGACAAGTTCAAGTGCCAATTGTAGGTGCACAAGGGATTCACTGGGCTCCTCTAAAGAGGACCCAAGGTGAGACTGGACCAGAAGGAGGGCGACATTCCCTGAGATCGTTCTCTTGAATCCCAAATGCAGCTGCAGAGGAGCACGGGCCTCAAGTGGCAGTCACCCGTCTCCCTACCTGACGCTGTCTGTCTGTCGAGGATGCTGAGGGTGGCCGGCGAGCCCCTGGTTCCCTTCTGGGGGCTGGGGTTGGCCTGCAGAGGCCCACACAGGGCTGGAGGGATTCCTTGGAAGTCTTTCTTGCCCAGCAGGTTTGAAGTGGAGCTGAAAAAAACGTTAGAGAAGAATGAAAACCACTTTCTCCAATTGGCCTTTAGAGCAGCCGGAGGCACCAATTCTAAAGGGAGGGGCTGGAGGAGGGCAGCTCCACGCCACTGCCCAGCCCAGAGGACCCAGGCATTTGCACAGCCATGTCCTTGGCCACCAGGCGACACACATGGCCCTGAGAAGGGCAGGGCCAGCCCCAGTGGCCACACACTGGAATGGGCAGCATTTCAGCTCAGCTTGAAAGTCAGTCTGGGGACAGGACTGAGCTTGTTCCTGGCCACGCAGTACTCTGTGGCCAGGGGGAAGGGTCACCTGAATGCATAGGCACCGTCTAGCGTGAGGCGAGCCTGCAGGCAGCACTGCACCCCACAGCCCACACCCTAGACCCTCACCTGGTCACATGCGCACAATAGCTCTCTTGCACACTCACACTGACACGCCGGCTCACTCACACTCAGATATTCTTCTGCTGGCAGCTCCCGCACTTGCTGCCTTGCTCGCTTGCTGGGCAGAATGGAGAGCCATCGGTGAAGAAACAGGCTCCACGCACTGGCATGCGCACAGTGAAAAAGCCGACCCGGAGCCTGCGCCCTGCTGCCCTGGGCAGGCAGATGTGCCTGCGGGCAGAGAGAGGCTCCGGCTCCGGCTCCAGCGGGGTCCCCTGTGGCTGTGGAAGCCGCAGGCTCCCTGGGGGAGCCCCCCATCAGGTACAGGCTCCTGGGTGCTCGATGGGTGGCAAAACCACTTTTGAGATGACCTTTAAGTGACTCCAAAATCACTCAGGTGGGTATTTGTCATTGGCTACTGCCACATTCTTAATGAGTTTAATGGGGAGCTATTGTAAGATTTCTGAACAGAAAATACATGTTTTGCTGCATTCTTCTCATAGCATGAGAGATAAATTCAAGTTTCCAGAAGTCAGACACGACACAGCATAAAGAACACACCAGGTGGAATGTGAGCTGTGCTCAGCCTTGCTGTGTTCACAGGTGGCTGCCTGGCAGCCCCCCCCCCCCCCCGCCCTTCCAGAAACTGTGCTTCTGGTCAGGATGGAATAACAGAAACCAGATTGACTCTCACCTGGAAACAACAGAAAAACAGACCACACAACCAAACAATAGTCTGCAAGACACTACACCAGGCAGCAAAGCACCACGATCCCTGAGAGATGGGACAAACGAGGTCAGCCCTCCTGCTGCCCCAGCTCGCTGCCTGGAGACCACTTCTGGCCCATGGGTCAGGGAAGGGGAGCCCAGTGGGCCTTCTGAATTGAGAAGACAGAACTGGGGGTCCCAGGAAACCAAGGTGGCCAGAGGTCACAGGATGCAGCCCTGGAGAAGAGAGAGCTGCACACAGACAGACAACCCTGGGATCGGCAGGGGGTCCCTCAAGGACTGTCCAGCACATGTGTGGGAGGAAACTGCACAAGGCTAGAAAAAGAACCACCTGAATGGACCAGAGGGAGCTCACACAGGGCAGGGCTATGCCTGTTCCCACCAGCCAGCCTACAAAGCCCCAAGGTCCAGGGACATTAGGTTGAGGACTCAGCAGGGTCTTGCCTCAGTAGTGGTGGATAATTAGCCCTATAGTGACCATCTCCCTGGTCCCACCTAACAAATCTTAACAGGAAGCCCATATTATTTACAAAACTGCATCCATGAACACAGCTCAAAAATACTTACGGGAATATCAAAACATTCAGCCCCCAGCAATGGAAAATTCACAATGTCTGGCATATAATCAAAAATCACCAGGCATACAAAGGGACTATAAACTTGTAATAAGGATGAAAAACTCAGTCAATTGACACTGACCTGTAACTGATGCAGAGGTTGCAGAAAGGGTCATTAGAATAGCTATTATACCTGTATTCTATGATGTTCAAAAGTTAAGTAGAGATGTAGAAAACATAAAAAGACTAACATCAAACTTCCAGGGATGAAAACAACAAAGTGTAAGATCAAAGATCCACTGAAAAAAAATTAATAGCAGATTAGAAATTGTAGAAGAAAAATTAATGAATTTGAAGAGACAGCAAGAGAAACTATCCAAAATGAAATGGTGGGGAGGAGAACAGAGCATGAGTGAAATGTGGGAAGACCTCAGCAGCATAACCATGTGTAAACGGAGTCCCAAAAAGGAGTAGGCAGGAAAAATGTTTGAGGAAATAATGGCCAAAGTTTCCAAATTGTTTTTCCAGATCTGATGTAAACTACAAATCCACATATCTAAAAATTTCAATGAACACCAAGCACAAGAAATATCTGTAGTTAAAATGTTTACACATGGAAATCTCCAGGCTAGATCTTCACTGGTGAATTCTACCAAATAGTTAGGAAGAAGTGGTACTAATTCTACACAAGCCTTTCCAGAACATTACTAAAAAGGGACTATAACATCAGTGACTCTAGCAATAATTATGCCAAGTAAAGGGAACCAGACAAAGAAGAAGACCCACTGTGTTTTTCCATTTAGGAAATGCAAACCTGTCACCACACTTCCTGTGGTGACAGGAAGCAGATCAGTGGGTGCCCAGAAGGAGGGGTGTGGGTGGGGGAGGGGTCCTGAAAGAGGCAGCCTTGCAGAAATAATAGGAAAATATGGAATCCCACAATTTCCCCAGTAACCGTTAAAGATCAATCCTGTGAGCTCTCTCACTAACAGGTACCCGGCAGGAGTTCTGTTTTGCACAACTTCTAGAAAGAGCTGAATGAATGAAAAAGAGATATAAATCTCTCTCTTTCAAAATTCTTTTTTTTTTTTTTTTTGAGAATCTGCTTTTACAGAATTCTGAGCAAACAGCAGAACAAGCTGCAGCCTCAACCATATCTATCTCCAGGACAGAGTCACATCTCCTGTGATAATCCCATCTCCACGGAAGGTAGGAAACCAAGTCTTGGACTTTGACACCCTTGCAGTTCTCCTTATCTACTTGCTGCTGCTTTTATTATCAACTGACAGCATCACAGTTGTTTTCTTTGTCTGCCTTAAAATCAGCGAGCCACTTGGCCTCGCCGCTGGCATCTCCCTTCTCTTTCTTTGGGATGCCACTCGTCTCTCTGCCCTCTTCCCCCTTTCTCTCTCTCTTCTGTCTCTCTCTCTCTCTCTCTGTCTCTCTCTCCCCTCTAAGAAGGGTAAAATAAACTTTTTGTTACTTTTACATGTCTTAATCTCTAGGTGAGAAGTCTTTCTGAACTGCTCTCAGCACCTACTAAGCTCTCCACCCTTACAGGTACAAAGGGGCATAAGGAGCTTCTGGGGAAGACGTGTGTGCTCATTACCTTGGCTGTTTCCCAGGCACACACGTGTGTCAAAGCTTACAAACTGCGCACTGTCAGTACACGCAGGTAACTGTTACAGGCTTGCTTAGGAAAAATCCCACCCTCATCACCTTTGAGTAGCCGAGACTTGGTGAGTCGTGAACATTCTCCAGCATCGCTTTCCTCAATCCAGAAGGGAGGGTGAGTCATAGGCTGGGGGCAATGGGGCGTGTGGCCGCCACCAGCCTGGGGTGGCCGCCTGGACATCCCGGTCCAGAGAAGGGGGCGTGCAGTGCTCCCGGGGGGGGCCCTGAAGCGCCACTGGCTTCCCATGCAAGCGCTTCTGCAGGACGCTCACCTCCAGCTTTGCACTTGCAAATTTGCTTTTCAAATACCTGTGCTGCTGATTGAATTGTGTCTGTGCTGGTCCCTCCCCTAGTCACACACTCGAGTCCTAACTCCCAGGACCTCAGAATGGGACCTTGTTTGGAGACAGGATCTTTACAGAGGTAATCAAATTAAAGTGAAGTCTTTAGGGGGTTCTGGGGAGGGGTGTGGGAGGGCGGAAAGGGGGCTGCGGGGCTTGGTTGAGGACCCTGTAATTGTCACTTCACTCCCTTCTGTTCTGTTGCAAAGACTTTTTACAAAGAGTATGTGCGGCTCTAAAATAAAAGAAGTAATGAAAAATAAAATGATATGGGGCAGAGACCCCTCTCAGGGTCCTGGGGTTCGGGGGACAGCTTGGCAATGAAGGAAAATCTTGAGTCCTTCTTGAGTCCCTTCAGAGGAAGTTCTGGGCACCTTGAGAAGCGAAGGGCAGCCTGATGAGACGGGCCCTCCAGGGACGCCAGAGTCACAAGGTGTGCAGTTCCTTGTGGAAACTGAAAGATCTTAACGCATCCTTGAGTCCTTTCTCAGGAACCTCCACCAGAAGGAAAATGCAGATAAGGGGGACTGAGGAGCTGGACTCTGACAACCTTTCTTCATTCTCAATGTCCCCCCGAGGGACCTGTCAGGACCAACCACCTTAACATTCCTGTCCACTAATCTGAGAATCTCTGACTCCATCATGGCCACCAGGATGTCAGGCCAATGTATAACCTCCACATACGGGTCTACGATTTTCCTGCCTGAAATGTGCCCTGCCTTTAAACGCCCTGCTTATAAGTCACCAGCACGTCCAGGTTCCAGTGTTAGCTGCCGTGCCCACTGCTTGGCCCTGCGATGAAGCCTCTTGCTCCCACTGCGGCTCTCAGCGTCAGTGTCTGGCTTCCCCGTGCCCGGTGAGCGGACCCCAGTTTGGTTCAGCAACAAAACAGAGCGAGATGGACAGACGGGCAGGTGGAGGACGAGCAGGCCCCTGGACAGAGCCCTTCTCCAACCAAAGGCTTCACCTGAAGCAGCCCTCCTGGGCCAGCAAGGCCATTACCTGGAGTTCAAGGCACATGTGCACACGCATATACAAATGCACATGACCACATACATACATATGTGTGCACACACGTGCATACACACGGACACATATGCACACACTTCCCACACCCCCATGTGCAGGGTCATGCTGAGCACTTTCACACATTCTCTCACTCACACCCACCCAAGGTGGGGGACATTTCCACCCTCCACACAGGGACGCTAAGGCTCAGAGAGGCTGACCCTAGCCACGCTGGAACCTCTGGGCTTGGGTTACTCTGATATACTCAGGACTGCATACATGTCACCACGCAGGTGCTCAGG